TCATATATATATCAATTATATTATAAATTTTTATTAATATACTTTTGATTTTCTTCCTAAATTTTCAATTGTTTCTAAATTCTTTTGATGATATAAAATAAATGACTAAATAACCAATCATAAAAAATAAATAATATGTTTAAATTTAAAATATGTTAATAAATAATATTTTATTTGATATTAGTTAATAAATATCAACAAATATTTTTTAGTAAAGTTTAATATTAAATTTTCAAATAATTAATATTATTTTTATATATAAAATATCATTTTTTCTCATCTTAATTTTGTAAGTTTATTTTTTTATAAGATAAAATGTTTTTTTTTAGTTATTTTCAGTTAACAGTTTAGATAAAAATTTTTTTTTTATAATAAAAATTGATGTACTTTCAGTTTTGCGTATATTAAACGGATCAAACTCAATATTCATAAATATTCGTAAAATATTCATAAATATCCGTAAATACTTGTAAATTTTCCGGATATCCGAAAATCTGGATATCCGTATATTTCCAGAATAGATCAAATTACAAAATTAAATATCCGTAAAAAATGGAGCAAACTATAAATACTTAAAAATTTCCGGATAACCAATCCGCGTCCATGCTAAATAATAGTATTACTTTAGGAACTTTATGACAATAAAATATTTATTTTGCCGTCGTTTCTTAAAATCACTGTGTCATTGACTCTTCAGTCGTCACGGACAACCATTCGAAAGTGCTTAAAAAGGTCAAAAGCATATTCAAAGGACCAAAATCCACTCGCTCGTGTCCACCTGTCACTGTTTCTCTGTCAAAGCCACGTTAGCATGATGGCCACGTGGCTTCAGTTTTGTTCTGCGCGCACCACGAGCTTCACACGCCTACGAGGCACGGCGTCCGTCAGAATACTAACGGCCGTTCGCTTCTACCTGCCTATTTCTGAAGCGTAAGGGTCTGACGGCGTCAGAAACGTGGGCCATATGGTCCTAGTCGAGTGTCAAAACGGGGCCTACATGAGGCAAGCTTATAACTAGACAGAGATATGAGTGTGTCAGACTTCTAACGGCACGTGCGTCTCACACGCGTGGAAAAATTATGGTAAGCAGCCATTTTCAACCTCCCAGAGTCAAAACACTCCTTAATTTGGATTTGTTTTTTCGATTTTTATTACCATACTTCTAACTCCTTTTTAGTTTTTGAATCTGGCCAGACTAATCAAAGATTTATCTAGCTATAGAAAAACAGAAAAAAATATTTTTATTACTAACAAATTAAACAGTACTAGTCACCTATTTTAAAATTTAGTAAGAAATATCAACCTATATATCAAAATTTGTTCTAAAAAAAGACAATAAATCCAAATATTGATATTGATAATACATCTTTAGTCTTGACTCCTTTTTGTAAAACGAAAATTAATGTAATTATTTAAGTATTGATTGACAAAGATTCACATGGGTATGCGTGAAGCCTGTAGAGTGTGACACGTGGGTAAGTGAACGTATAGAAGGAAAGGGCAAAACTGTAAATTTCTACCACATCACTTAATTTCCCATTTCGCCAGTCGTCTCTCCTCTCCTCTCTCTCTCTCTCTCTCTCTCTCTCTCTCTCTCTCTCTCCTTTGGTTATTTAAACAAGACAGACGCAAACTTTGTCAGGTACCTCAGAGAGGAAGAAGAGAAAATGGACTTCGAGAAGGCCAATAATGACAACAATGGGCATCTCGACCACGAGCGTTGTCCGGTGGAGGAAGTGGCTCTCGTGGTGCCTGAGACTGACGACCCAACTTTACCGGTGATGACATTCAGGGCTTGGTTCTTGGGCCTGACCTCTTGCGTCCTCCTTATCTTCCTCAACACTTTCTTCACATACCGCACGCAGCCACTCACCATCTCCGCCATCCTCATGCAAATCGCAGTCTTGCCCATCGGAAAGTTCATGGCTAAGACTCTCCCCACCACTTCCCACAAGCTCATGGGGTGGGAATTTAGCCTCAACCCAGGGCCTTTCAACATCAAGGAGCATGTCATTATCACCATCTTCGCCAATTGTGGAGTCGCTTACGGTGGTGGTGATGCTTACTCCATTGGAGCCATCACCGTCATGAAGGCTTACTATAAACAGAGCCTTAGCTTCATCTGTGGTCTCTTCATCGTCTTGACCACTCAGGTACCTTTCTCTCTCTCTCTCTCTTGAGATTTCACAATTCGTGAATTTTCTGCTAATTGGCGTATGGATTCTGCAGATTTTGGGTTACGGCTGGGCTGGAATTCTTAGGAGGTACCTTGTTGATCCTGTAGACATGTGGTGGCCTTCAAATCTTGCTCAAGTTTCTCTCTTCAGGTTTCTAATCAAATCTCTGTTAACTGCAAATGCGAAAGGTGATTCCTTTTTGTTCTTCAACGACTTAAAAGTTTGGTTCTTTTGATTTTCTCTCTCTTTGTTTCAGAGCGTTGCACGAGAAGGAACACAAGTCGCAAGGCATGACGAGGATGAAGTTCTTTCTAGTGGTTCTCGGTGCTAGCTTCCTTTACTACGCGCTTCCAGGCTATCTATTCCCGATCTTGACCTTCTTCTCATGGGTGTGTTGGGCTTGGCCTAACAGCATCACGGCTCAACAGGTTGGGTCAGGCTACCATGGCCTTGGTGTTGGAGCCTTCACTCTTGACTGGGCCGGTATCTCTGCTTACCATGGAAGCCCCTTGGTGGCTCCTTGGTCCTCTATCCTCAACGTTGGTGTCGGTTTCATCATGTTTATATACATCATCGTCCCTGTTTGTTACTGGAAGTTCGACACTTTCGACGCAAGAAAGTTCCCTATTTTCTCCAACCAGCTATTCACTTCCACTGGCCAGAAGTATGACACAACCAAGATCTTGACTCCCCGGTTTGATCTTGATATCAACGCCTATAACAACTACGGGAAGCTTTACCTCAGCCCTCTTTTCGCGCTCTCCATCGGATCTGGTTTTGCGAGGTTCACTGCAACGCTGACTCATGTGGCACTGTTCAACGGCAGGTTAGTTTTTGTCATTCAGTAGAGTAGCTAGGACTCTGTGTTAAGAGGATTGAGAATTCACTTTTGGTGTGTTTTGCTGCAGGGACATATGGAGGCAGACTTGGTCTGCAGTGAAGACCGTGAAGCTGGACATCCATGGGAAACTGATGCAAAGCTACAAACAAGTGCCTGAGTGGTGGTTTTATGTGTTGCTGGTAGGAAGTGTAGCCATGTCTCTCCTCATGTCCTTTGTCTGGAAAGAGTCAGTGCAGCTTCCATGGTGGGGAATGCTCTTTGCTTTTGCAATGGCCTTTGTTGTCACTCTCCCTATTGGTGTCATTCAAGCAACTACAAATCAGGTTAATCACTAGTTCCTGTATACATGCACCCTTAAGATTAGGCCAACACATGCTCATATCTTTGTGCATTGTTCTTGAAAAATGCAGCAACCAGGGTATGATATCATAGGACAGTTCATCATCGGTTATATCCTTCCTGGAAAACCAATTGCAAACCTGATTTTCAAGATCTACGGGCGAATCAGCACGGTCCACGCTCTCTCATTCTTGGCAGACCTTAAGCTCGGCCATTACATGAAGATCCCACCTCGCTGCATGTACACGGCTCAGCTTGTTGGCACTGTGGTAGCAGGTGTGGTGAACCTAGGAGTGGCCTGGTGGATGCTTGAGAGCATTCAAGACATATGCGACATTGAGGGAGATCACCCTAATAGCCCCTGGACTTGCCCCAAGTACAGAGTGACCTTCGATGCTTCGGTGATCTGGGGTTTGATAGGACCAAAACGGCTGTTTGGAGCAGGAGGCATGTACCGTAACCTCGTCTGGCTCTTCCTCATCGGAGCTGTCTTGCCTGTTCCCGTGTGGGTGATGAGCAAGATCTTCCCAAACAAGAAGTGGATCCCTCTCATCAACATTCCTGTTATCTCCTACGGGTTTGCAGGGATGCCTCCAGCTACTCCGACCAACATCGCTAGCTGGTTGGTCACAGGGACCATCTTCAACTATTTTGTGTTCAATTACCACAAGAGATGGTGGCAGAAGTACAACTACGTGCTCTCTGCAGCGCTCGACGCAGGGACAGCTTTCATGGGAGTGCTCTTGTTCTTCGCCCTGCAGAATGCTGGACACGACCTCAAATGGTGGGGTACTGAAGTAGACCACTGCCCTCTTGCTTCATGTCCCACGGCTCCTGGAATCAGAGCCAAAGGCTGTCCTGTTTTCTAAAATTCATGAACTCGATTTAGATCCAAACATATTAAACAACAATGTTTTTGCACTTTCTACTGTTGCTTCTTTCTGTACAGCCTTTTCTACTGCTAGATAGTGGCCATCAGAATGCAATAAACTCTACTTTAGATTTGAAATTTCAGAGATAACGAAAAGTACTAATTGTAGAAGAAAAGGCTTCAATAAGACATCTGTCATATCTTTTGCTTTTTCACCGATATACTCGTGATATGCAGATGCTTTCGTGAGGACAAGTTGCAGAAGCATTTGATCATCTGTCACAGTCACACATGTCTTTCCTTAGATTTTGAAAGCCAAACAATAATTTAAAAAGACTGGCAGGTGTGTGTGACATAACCAAAACCAACTCTTGTTCAAAACTTGAAAGCTCCAAAACAAAACCATAGTAAAAAAAAAAAAGATTTGCCGGTTTTACAAGTGAAGTTCCTGCATTCTTTCTTTTTTTCTAAATTATGCTAAAAGAAGAAGAAGAAAAAAAAAACAGAGGATGAAGTCTTTCAAATCAAAAAGATTACACTGACACTTTGACTGAATAAACTGCATCTTCATTTTTCTGTTGGTAAAACCTTATTGACAACTTTAAAAGACAGCAAAATTCGCGCGTATTGAGGGAATACTTTACTCTTCTTCGCATATCTCCTTTCCTATAATAGAGCCTCACCCATATCTCTTCCATGAGTTAAACAGGAAGCATGTCAAGAGTTTCCACATGCTTTAACCCATTTGTGGAACTTGGCATCATCATCATTCTCACCTCTGCAGGGACTTGTAGAGCACCACGGTTACATACTTTGCTAAGAAGCGGTGAGTGGAACCGAGCGCGACGACAGAAGGACCGCTCTTGCCCTTCTGCATGTAGAGATGATTGAGAATGACGTGCTGAGGCCTCGGCAACGGAGACGGGATGTCCGGATTTGCCGGCGGCAAGTTCAGCAGCGTCATCTGTAGGTGCGGTGGAACCACAGGCGGTTCTTTGGAGTAGTCATCAGCTCCGAGAAGCAAGTTGCTGTAACTGTTCTCTGGAGATTGTGGTGGCTCAAAGCCAGATATGCTTTGAATGTCTTCAGGAACATAGTCCTGCATATACACACACCAAAAGCATCTCTTTCTGTTCTCACACACAAAATCCAGGAGGCTTTTTAAAACTATAAATCAAGATAGATCTCTTTTGCATTCCCTACAACCTTGGCTCCACAGTTTCAATTCTCCGATATGAGAGACCTGGAAAAGAGAATGGATGTTACCTGAAGGTCCAAGATGTTGAAAGTGTTTCCAGCATCATCTCGAGCTAAAGGAAGCTCAGGGGCATGTCTCCACTGTCCATCGACAATGAATCTGTACTCATAGACGCCTGAAGGAAGAACTTTCATTATAGTGAAGTCTTTCCCAGATCTCTGAAGCCGACTTCTGAATCAAACAAACAACAAATGAGAGATTCGAAATGATAATCAAAGCCGATTGATTTATAAACAACATTTTCCAGCTAAAAAAAACCTCGTCTTCCAATTATCCCATGATCCCTCCACAGCGATTTCTTTTCCTCCATGGCACCATGTGATCATCGTTGGGATCCCTTGCTCGTTGCAAGCCTCTTCGTACAACGAAGATGGCGATTGCATCCACGACGGATTCGGGATGTGGATTTCATCTGGTCTCTGAAGTGGAAGCACCGGAACCTTTAAAAAAAAAAAAAGACGCAAACTTTTTTAGCTTTTTGCAGATCTTTATCCCATCCGATTCGAGATTTTCGATAGCGAAGGAAAGTTTGAATCTGGAATTGAGAAATAAAAAAGAGAGGGATAAAGCAAACCTGGGGAGCGAACATGAGAGGAGATTGGGTGGCTCGAGGGCTGTGAGGAGGGGATTGACCCATGAGCTCAGGTGGTGCGGTGTGGTTACCGTCGGAAGCAGCAGCCATGGCTTCGCGAGAACAAATCTCAGCGTCGTCGTCTTCGACGGCAGATGCGTTGTTACTATTCGCTTCTTCTCTCGCGTTCACGTTACCCATATCACAACACAACACAACACACACAGAGAGAGAAAAAAAAGAAAAGGGAATACGCCCAAAGAGTAATCTAATCTTCTTCCCTTTTTATTTATTTAAAATTTACAGCAACCAGATGTCGAATCTAATCTCTCTCTCCCGGATCTCACCACAAATTCATCCAGTTTATACGACAACACACTTGATTACAAAGGACAGTCCCGGGTTTAAAGATTCGTGCTTTTCGTAGAAACTGATCAATTTAGTAGGGACGGAGAAATTTAGGGAAAAAAAAAAATTATAAAAGCCTTCTTCCCTGAGATCAGAAGAAACTAAAAAATTTTAAAAAGGAAAAAGAAAAAGCAAGAAAGAGAGAGAGAGAGAAAAAAGGACCAATCTTTGATTCAACTCAAGACTCTCCCACACAAAAATATCAAATCGAACAAACCTTTTGTATTTTTTTCTTTTTTTTTTCTTTGTCAATCATCAATTGTTCCATACACTACTCTCTCCATCTTCTCCCACTTACTCTCTTCTCTATCCCAAATCTCAAACTTACTTTCTTGTCTTGGTGTTTTTAATTGCATTTATCACCCTATAATTTGATTTTGTTACTAATTACCCCCTGCATCCCACATTTGGTCACAGTCAAATCAGTGATTTGCGTCGTAACTCATTGGGATTGGATGGGTATGGTCTTTATGCTCACAAACAAAGGTTAATATCTTTTTTTTTCCCCACTAATTAACACACACATACCTTGGCTTGATATACGTAATTAGTGAATAATCTTGTGCTAGATCAAATTTCTAATTTTGCATTCCACCAATCAAAGCAGGACTAGAGCAAATGTAGAGAGAGCCTAGTCTAGGTAGTAGTATGTGTGTTTCAGGTACGGAGAGTGGAATCAAAATGATGGTGTGGGCTATTTGCTAATTGCTATAAAGTTGTCATGGGAGCACTTACTCATATCCCAACCAACTAACAAACAAACAATCATAAAGTTGAATGGTGTGTGGTCTACTAGCTATAATTGAAAGCGGGCCTTTTGGGCCTCCATAGATGGGCCTTGAGAAAACCTCCCTTTATGCTGGGCCTTGAGGATGAGTTTTCAAATTGGTTGTGGCGGTGGAGAACCATCGCAGGCGAAGTTCCGGCGCTTGATGATGACGAAATTGGATGAGAGCCGAGAAGCAATCGCCGAAAGTTGGAGACATTTCAATGGCCGAGGGTGCTTACCGATCGAGAGATTTCCTCGTATATCTTCTGCAATTTCGCTCAGCCCACATCGGAGTCTGATGATCTATAGGAGACGAAGAAGAGTAGTAATAACTGGTGCGTCAGCGTCACTGGAAGTTTTGTAACGTCTGTGAGGTTTTGACCATGGAAGACACCGGAGAACTGTTGAAGATGACCATGGGAGAAGGTGTAGTTACAGATTAGAGTAGAGATGGTACATAAATTCAGCGGGTTTCGATTTGGGAGATCGCCATAGCAGAGATGGATATCAAGCTCTTCTAGAGGACGATATTTCGGTGATTCGAGGACCTGATTGGCCGATAACTTCAATCAATCTGCTGAAACGAGTCTGAGAATCAAACCAGAAAGCACAGTTGAGCAGCCCTGAGAAATGTTGCTGTCCAAGAACCAAGACCTGTGTCAATGACGTGCCAGAAAGATTCTTGGGTATCTTATTAGTCTCGATGAATGCATCTCTCTCTCTCTTTTGAAATGTCAACTCAACGTTGGCCAAGTGGTCACCAACTAACTAGGAGACGACTAATTAACGCCAACGAGCTTGTTGATCCCTTCTCAGGTCTCAGCAGCCAACAACAGCTCGAGATCGTGGTGAAAGTGAAAAAAACTTCTTTTGAACAAGTCGTTTATCTGAAGCTTCTTTACACGCAAACGACAGAAACCAAAAACACACACACACAAAAAGTAAATTTGTGGGCTCATCTTCTCCCCTTTTCTCAAAAGTCAAAACTACTTCTTTCTTCCTCATCATTTTCCTCTATTTGATGTCAACCATTTCTGCGTCGGATCGTCAAACTTGTGTTCGATTCTTGAATTTTTGTTCTCCATGACATTTGTGTCTGTTATATTTTCCCTATGTGTTGATGATCAATGGAACTAACCAGTAACCATCTTTTGCTGTGTTTGTGGTAGGCATGGAAACAGTGAGTTGGAGGAAGAGAGATGATGATGCAGTGTTTAGATGGATTAAAACACTTCTCCACGATTCTTTTGACTTGTTGTGGTGCTGATTTTCCCACACAGTCCAGGGGTCTTCAGAACCCTAAGGAAGTGGCTAAAGGCACTGTGTGTATGTCTACTTCTCCCTTTCACTTTTTTACATTACTGCTTTTGATTCTCACAGCTCAAGCCAAACCATGTGTCGATTGCAGTTACTGTGAATGAGATTGAAGCTCTTTACGAAATGTTCATGAGCATCAGCAGAGACGGGCTTATCGACCAGGTTTTGCCAGAATCCATTGTCGCTAGTTCTGTATCCGTGCTCTTTTGTCCTATACATTTTCACTTGGATCCTTTCCAAATTTTGCAGGAACAGTTTCAGTTGGTGCTGTTCAAGACGAACAAAAAGAGAAGCCTTTTTGCTGATAAGGTAAAATGACTTGTAACCCCCCACATTTGGGTTTCCTTGTTGTGAACCCATATTTAAAAGCTTTGCAGGTGTTTGACTTGTTTGATACCAAGCGTACTGGGATTCTGGATTTTGAAGCCTTTGCCCGTGCTATTTCAGTTTTTCACCCCAAGGCTCAAATTGAGGATAAGATCGAGTGTAAGTGGTAGAGAGATTTGGTCTTTGTCTTTTAATATCCAAACTTGTCACATATGATCTTTTTTTTTTGTTTGCATCTTCAGTTTCTTTCAAGCTGTATGATCTGAAGCAGCAAGGGTATATAGAGAGACACGAGGTATATCATATTCTTAGAGATGTGTCTGTGTTATTTTCGTTTCTCTGATTCTCTGTTGATGTGAGAGTAGTTGAAGCAAATGGTGGTGGCGACTCTAGCTGAATCTGGGATGAACCTTTCTGATAATGTGATAGAGAGCATCATAGACAAGGTTGGATTAGTTAATCGCCATTGACATTGATTAGGATTCTCATCGTGTTTCCCTTTTACATGTTCTAAATCTGATTGGTGTAGACATTTGAAGAAGCTGATAGTAAACTGGACGGGAAGATTGATAAGGAAGAGTGGCAGAGTCTTGTTTCTCGCCATCCTTCTCTGCTAAATAACATGACCCTTCAACATCTCAAGTAAGCTACATCTCTCTCTCTAGCTTCATCTCTTTGCTATCATCTCTGGGTGGGGCTAACAAGTTTTAATGTTTGCGTTTGTGTTTGTGTTTGTGCAGGGACATCACGAAGACGTTTCCGAATTTTGTGTTTCACACTATAGTGACAGACAACCCATCTGAATGATAGAGGGATGTGATTTTGGATTTTGATTTGTGCAAGTTGATTCTTTTTTACTTGGCATAAGAGATTATTATATTACTACTTCTATTTTAAAAATCTGGTTCTTTACCTTCTACGCTCGTTCACTCCATCTAATTTTGTATCTGAAAACTTGTCTCGTCTGATTTATTGTAAAGCAATTTGCAAAAGTAATAAACCTTTTTAAAAAAATTCACTATGAAAATTCAAATATAAACTTGTCTGGTCTGATTTATCTTCCTTTCTTTGTCCTTGAAAATTCACTCTGGCTTTGCCAATAATTTCGAGAATTTTCATCCTTGCTTTGAGTCTGTGGTTCTTGGTTTGATCCGGTATGCCCTTGGTTTAGCTAAATCTGGTCGAGATAACCAATTGAACAATCTTGGGATGAAGAACATACTGTACCTCAGTAGAATGGAGTTTTTGAGACCCTGAGGAAGTTGAATCAAACCATCTAAAATGTTTTGGAAGCATTGCTTATGTGGATGTGAATCAAGAACACATTTATCTCAGAAGAATGCAACATGAATCCGAAGAAAATAAGCTTACTTTAAAATTTTGTTTTGCGACAAGTAAATTTTTTGTTGTTGTATACGATAAATCCATTTTTGTAATAGAGAGAGGTACAGAAAATGTGAGAGAGAATTGGAGTTGCTTTAAGCTTATTTATGGAGTTTGTGGTTTCGTCTGGGTCGTTGGAATGATTGACTCTTGAAATAAATAAAAAAAAATTAAGCAAAAAGACGAACGAGTGTAGAGTTGGACTGTGGTTGGACTTGCGGCTCCAGCTCGACGCTCTGCTCTTTGAGAAAAGAAAATGATTATAATCTTTCACTTTTTCTCAACTGCTTCCTCCTCTCTCACGGATCTCTTCTTCCCCTCTGCGTAAAGCCAAAGATTCCTCCCACTCACTCACCACCGTTGAGCTCTCCTTCTCCCACAGATCTACTCACCAAATTCCAAATGTGCTTCTCCGTTTCTAGGTTTTCAGAGTAACAACAACAACAACGAAAGCTCAATTTTCTTCTTAGTGTTGGATGTTGCAGCTGACATTGTATAGATCTCCGATTTCATAAAAAAAACCAGAATAATATGGAGAACAATAATCTCGGCCTTCGCTTCCGCAAGATTCCTCGGCAGCCTGTTGCTCTCCCTAAGCTCGATCCTTTGGTATGTCCCTCTCTCTTGCTGCAATTGCGTTTTTTGTTTTTCTTCTCTTTTTTGAATTTCGTCACTTCCTGATGTTGTGTGGTTTCTCTTCTCCGTCACAAGCTTGATGAAAATCTGGAACAGTGGCCGCATTTGAACCAATTGGTTCAGTGTTACGGAACGGAATGGGTCAAGGATGTTAATAAATACGGGCACTATGAGAATACTCGGCCTGATACTTTCCAGAGCCAGATTTTTGAAGGACCTGATACAGATACTGAGACTGGTAGGGATTGCATGTGTTTTGCTTTGCCTTTTTATCAATTTTGTTTTTTGTGCTTGAAACAAATCAATCAACTCTCGTTACTTACTGCATTTTCTCCAGAAATCCGTCTTGCTAGTGCTAGGAGTGCGACATTGGAAGACGATGTAGCCAGCATTTCCGGGAGGCCGTTTTCTGATTCTGGATCCCCCAAGGTTTGTTCATCTTTTTGACCTGCACAACTCTTTCTCTCTATTGCTCATTCTTTTGTTCTTACTGTAAATGGCATGTTTTTTTGTTTGTTTGCAGCACTTTGGCCAACCTCCACTTCCTGCTTATGAACCAGCTTTTGATTGGGAAAATGAAAGATCTATGATTGTTGGCCAGAGAACTCCAGAAACTCCTGCATCAAGCTATTCCAGGTTTGCATGTCGCTATGCTTTACCTGATCCTCTCTTATTTCCTTTTGTCTGATATATTCTTCTGTGCCCTTCACAGTGGATTGAAGATCTCTGTCAGAGTTTTGTCTCTAGCTTTTCAGTGTGGCTTAGTTGGTGAGGAATCCGCCTAACTGTTTGGGGGAATACTGTCTATTTCCTGTAGTTTTAGTTATTTTTTAACCCTTTCCGCCCTTTTCTTGCAACCCTGCAGAACCGTTTTTTGGCTCGATTTCATTGTACAATCAAGAGAGGAAGGAGAAACTATCCGAGGATTTTTATTTCCATATTTTGCCAACGGAAATGCAGGATGTAAGTCACTGAACTGAGTGAACTGTCCCCTTTTTCGTCTTTTGCTTTCTATAGTTATATAAAGTTGGTTCCAAGTTTTTACTCACTCCATTTTTGCGAACTTGCTCTCCCCCTTGTACATTTTCTTGCAGGCTAAACTTTCATCTGAAAATCGTGGAGTATTTTATTTAGATGCCCCATCATCATCAGTTTGCTTGCTGATTCAATTAGAAAAAACAGCAACAGAGGAGGGAGGCGTTACAACATCTGTCTATTCCCGTAAAGAACCTGTAATTGCCTTAATTTTGGAATTGCCCTTACTGTCTATAGCTGGTTCTTTGTATCGCAATTAGTAAGTTTCCTGTTTGTAGTAACTCAGTTTTTTTGGCCATTTGCGAACCAGGTGCACTTAACTGAAAGGGAAAAGCAAAAGTTGCAGGTCTGGTCCCGCATTATGCCTTACCGAGAGTCTTTTGCGTGGGCAGTTGTTCCGCTTTTTGATAATAATAATATCACCACGAACAATGGTGAATCTGCTTCCCCTAGCAGTCCTCTTGCTCCCAGTATGACTGCTTCAAGTTCCCATGATGGTGTTTATGAACCCATCGCAAAGATCACATCAGATGGAAAGCAAGGTTATTCAGGTGGAAGTTCGGTCGTCGTTGAAATATCTAATTTAAACAAAGTTAAGGAGAACTACTCTGAGGAGTCAATTCAGGTAGGATGCTTAATTTTCACAGCATCACAGTTTTTAAGTCATAGTTTTATCATGTTCTCTATGATTATATTTTACATTGATTTGAACTAGATATGGTGTAACATAGATTTCATGTTAATTTCCTAGATTTCGCTCAATCTGATCATCCTAGTACGTCTGATACTTGCTAGGTACATTTTGGTTGGTATTTCCTGAACTGGACATGTATGTACGTAATTAGAGTATTATAGACAATCGATTGATTGTAGCCTTCTCTATTTCTATTGATCTTTTCTTTTTGTTTCTATATGAATGAATCAGTCCTGGTAGCTTTTGACAATCACGTCATGGTGCTTAATTCATGGGTTTTGAGGAAGTGAAGTCCCTCATTTCATTTCTTCTTTCTGAAGTCTAGTTAGTGACGATTATATTTACTAAATACATCACAAGGGACAAGATTTCTGAGCTGTCTCTTCTTACAGTCACATAAAAAGTTTCAGATCCAAATTGTGGATATAATTAACTGGCATGCTTTTTATGGATATCACATCTGACGGCATATCGCTGCTTTCATTTGGAGGAGAAACGTATCTAAAACCCCTATAACCGTCTTAAACATTTGGACATACGACATTACCTAATATATTGTTGTCTAATGATTTATATTTTGGTTTTTACAGGACCCTAAACGGAAGGTTCATAAACCTGTTAAAGGGATTCTGAGATTGGAAATTGAGAAACATCGGAATGGACCTGGAGACTTTGAAGATCTATCTGAGAATGGAAGTATCGTAAATGACTCTCTTGATCCGACTGACCGCCTCAGCGACCTGACACTTATGAAGTGTCCCAGTTCTGGTAGCGGTTCCAAATGGAATACAGATGATGCAAAGGATAGAAACCTAACAAGCTCAAGTGGGAATCTCGACAAATGTTCTTATGTAAGTGTGTATCAGCTTTATCATTCTCTCTACTGAATCCTTGATCTACTGCTCAAAGTGTTTCTTCTTCTTAGCTTCCATCTCTTTTCATCAACCTGTTTTTTCCTCCTGATAGTAATCCTCGACCATCATTCTACTTTGGAGCTACTTGTTTCTTATTTGAACCAAGAATTTAGGGACTCTCTTCATATAATATTTTGGTTTAAAGAGGATAAAAGTAAAAGAAAGATCATTCTATTTGCTAGCTCTAGTTATGAAGCTGGGTCCTTGATATAATTTACCCGCAACTTGATCTGATTATCCATCTTCTGGTTCCAGGCATTTGATTTCTGCTCTACGACAAGAAACGAGCCTTTTCTACATCTCTTCCATTGCCTTTATGTGTATCCTGTAGCTGTTACTTTGAGTCGGAAAAGGAATCCCTTTATCCGAGTAGAATTGAGAAAGGATGATGCAGATGTCCGAAAACAACCACTTGAGGTAATTATTTTGATCATCACCAGTCCTGCAAATGATGAGGCTTTTTCCCGAGTCTTTATTTGTTTCTTACTTTTGATTTGGCTAGGCAATCTATCCAAGAGAGCCTGGTGTGTCACTCCAGAAGTGGGCTCATACACAAGTTGCTGTTGGAGCCAGAACTGCTAGTTACCATGATGAGATCAAGGTGTCTCTTCCTGCCTCATGGACGCCATCACATCATCTGCTATTCACTTTTTTTCATGTTGATCTCCAGACAAAGCTTGAAGCCCCGAGACCAGTAAGATTTACATAGAGTTATGTGCTTGTTTCTTTTTGATGAATGTGGCCTCTAGTTAATGGTTATATATTTTCTTTTTTCAGGTAATTGTTGGATATGCATCACTTCCATTATCGACCTATATCCAGTATGTATATGATATTGGCCTACCATGTAGTCTCTAGATTTTGTTATGTACTGCTGAAAAATGGCTTCTCTTATAGTTTTTCTTATCTCTAGTTTGTTAATGGACGCGTGTGCGCAAAAGAGCTAGTATACAAACCAAAATGAAATTGGAACATGCAGTATATCATTTATGTCAAAGTTATCTGAACAATTAGATTAGACTGGTTGTGCTTTCAGTAATAACAAGCTGGGCCAAGCGTTGGGTTAGTCAATTTTTTCTTGATGACAACAATTTGTTGATTATTGATATGCAGCTCACGGTCTGATATTTCTCTACCAGTAATGAGAGAACTGGTTCCCCACTATCTTCAAGAAACCACCAAGGTATGCTGTCATCATATGCAAGCATCAGTGATATATATATTTTTGGGCGTGCTTAGCTAGTAATTATGGGAAAATCCACATGAATGTTTGTGACTCAAAAAATTGGGAAAGAGACTTTATGAAAGTTGTTCATAGATGAAAGAAAGATAAGAACAAAAAAAGCTAGATTGTTAGGAAGGTCGATAGCTAATGACTGATTGAGAACGTAGTCACCTTAAGCACAACAAACCTCTAAGGTTTCAACAAAGGTATACTCTGCTGACACCCACTACATTGCGTGTAATTTAGTCTAGTCTAGTGATAGTGGTATGGTAGGTGAACGTGTTAATCAGTTCTAGTTCTCAACCTTGGTATAACTAGTGAGATAATTCTATTTGAGGTGTCCTTTTATTATTTTTAGTCACACTAGAGATTGTGTTATAGAATTCTTATATATTGATCAACACAACACTATTTCGAACAGAATGTTGACGATAATACTGTCTCTGACAATCACAGGACAGGTTGGATTATTTGGAAGATGGCAAGAACATTTTTAAGTTGCGACTGAGACTTTGTTCATCGCTTTATCCCACCAATGAGCGTGTCAGGGATTTTTGTCTAGAGTACGATAGACATACCCTCCAAACAACCCCTCCCTGGGGCTCAGAACTGTTGCAGGTAGTCACATAACTGTTTTATTTAATTTATTTTTAACCAGTCTTATTATTATCACATGCTCTTTATCTTTCTCTCTAGGCAATAAACAGTTTGAAGCACGTTGACTCCACTGCCCTGCTTCAGTTTCTTTACCCAATTCTTAACATGCTCCTTCATCTTATTGGCAATGGTGGAGAAACTCTTCAGGTTTGTCAAATCTTCTGATTCATTTAGCATACAATTTTGATATAAGCATTAGTAGGTCTTATTTCTGCCCACGTGACTTTTGTTTACATCATTTACCACTGAAGTATTTGCCTTCCTGTACTTGTTTCAGGTCGCAGCATTTAGAGCCATGGTGGATATTTTAACTCGGTATGCAATTTCCTGTGTTTAGCGCAACTGGGTTTGATCTAATTTAATATAATTAAATATGTAAAAGGACTTGTCTAGTTGGATCATCTAATCTTTTCCCAATAAAAACTTAACCCTAAGGATCAGGGAAAATTATTATATAGTAAGGGTTTAGGTTTTAGCTAAATGACCAAAGAATGTTATGTCACGATGTCATTGGCCTTAAACTTTGGATGGTCAAGTGTCACTAGAGTTGCAAATAATGTGTATGACTAGACACGGTAAATGTACAACAAGCATGCTTGATTCTTTTATTGTATCCTCATCGACTATCAAGTTTTAAGTGCTCGGTTTGATTTTATGTTTTCTGAACCATTCTTCTCAATTTGTAAGCATCCTTGTTCTTACCAGATCTTTTAATTTTGTGTTATAGAGTGCAGCAGGTGTCGTTTGATGATGCTGACAGAAATCGTTTCCTGGTCACCTATGTTGATTATTCTTTTGATGATTTTGGAGGCAATCAACCACCGGTTTATCCGGGATTATCAACTGTGTGGGGAAGTTTAGCTAGAAGCAAGGTATAAAAAAGTGCATTCATCTCGATGAAACTACAAGCTGATCTTTGTTCTAATGTGCTGTACATTTCCTTAGACTATCACTCACCTCAAGTTAATAGAGCATATCTCCATGACTCCATATTCGTGCAGCTATCTGCTGAATTTTTTTATTTTGTTTTTATTTCTTTGTTGGTTAATGAACACTATGACTGGCTGTACAGGCTAAAGGTTACCGGGTTGGGCCTGTATATGACGATGTTTTATCAATGGCGTGGTTTTTCCTCGAGTTAATTGTTAAATCAATGGCATTGGAGCAGGCACGTCTTTTTGATCATAATCTACCTTCAGGTACTTTTGTGGTATCTAGTTTTCATATTTCCACAGAATTTTCGTTGTTAAGTTGTCATGCAATGCTCTTCAAGGAATCAGCCTCTCCCACTAATAATGAAAGAACATAACTAAATTCACGAATAACCTGATTTTCTAGAACTCAAAAACCAAGGACTGAAGTAACTTTTTTGCACTAAAATAACGCATATCTATGTGTCAACATAAAAGAAACAAAAACGTTGTTTACAGATTGTTTGCTTTCTAAACCTGAATGCCTCCAAGTGTCGCCATTACTGTAGTTATCTTACAAGAACAAATTAGAAAACATATACTTTATGAGCAGCCGATACTTGCTTAAAGTACTCAAAATAAGTTCCTATACAGACCACTTATCATACTGCAAGTATGCTTATTTAAAGGTTATTGTTACTAAATTACGTTGTGGCCTCACAGCAATTACAGGCTATCTTTTGCCCTTCCCTTAGTAACATGCTCATTTTTTCTTCTCTCTATCATAGGAGAGGATGTTCCACCCATGCAGCTCAAAGAAAGTGTTTTTCGATGTATCATGCAATTGTTTGATTGTCTCTTAACTGAAGTACATGAACGTTGTAAAAAGGGTTTAAGCTTGGCGAAACGTCTGAACAGCAGTTTGGCCTTCTTCTGTTATGATCTTTTATATATCATTGAGCCCTGCCAGGTCTATGAACTGGTATGTTTTTGTTCAAACTATTATACGGTTTCGTTAGTCCGAGTTTTTTTGGAAGTCTCTCCTCGTTTTATTTTTGGTTGAGTTCAAGCATGAGCATGGTTTCATGCGTTGTTCTCTCATAAGAGTTTCTTTTTGGATAAATGGGTTTTACTGGGTGCCGTTACTACCACCGAATTGATCAATCATGTGCATGTGTATGGTTTTCAGTTCTGGATTTTGTATGTTAAAATTGTTTATAAATAAAAAAATCTTTGATTCAAAAACCTAATGGAGTTTATCTTTGAACTGATTTCTCGGCCACATCTTTGCTATCAGTTGTCAGTAATTTAGGACATGGGAATAATTAGGTTTCAGTTACTTTTGATAGTGTAAAATTTAAGTGGCCTTCTCGCTCTCAACAGGTGTCGTTGTACATGGACAAATTTTCTGGTGTTTGTCAATCTGTACTGCACGAGTGCAAGCTCACGTTTTTGCAAATTATCTCCGATCATGATCTTTTTGTTGAAATGCCTGGCAGAGACCCATCAGACAGGTACTCTCCCTTAGAAACTTCATTACATGTTTGTTCAACTTGGTATTTTCAATAATTGGAAGTGTTCGTATAAAAGTTACAGAAATCGAATATATATATGCACTTCTGCAGTAAGCACATGAACTCTTTAAAAGATGCAGAATAGAGAAGCCTAAACTGAGCCTACAGAATTTCTCATCTTCTTTTATGTTTGTGCGCATCTTTACTTTTGAAGGGACGAAAGAAAAATCCTCAGCTAACTTTATTTTGTTTTGTTCTAGGAACTATTTATCATCCATCTTAATACAGGAGCTATTTCTCTCCCTGGATCATGATGAGCTGCCTCTGCGGGCAAAGGTATTTTTGGTTCGATTTTCTTGTACGTGTGAGATACATATCATGTAAAAAATTTACATTGTAAATCGTATTCCCTTTTTGGTATCCTTGCAGGGTGCAAGAATTTTAGTGATCCTATTATGCAAACATGAATTTGATGCTCGGTACCAGAAAGCTGAAGATAAGCTGTATATTGCACAACTATATTTTCCTTTTGTCGGGCAGGTATGTCATGGTGGCTTGAAAATAATCTTGCATAAATTCTTTCATTTAAGTTGCCAAGAAATGTTTCTTTAGTCCTCTTCTGCTTTGGAAAGTTTGGTGATCAATGGTTGTTTTCCATGGCTAAAAGGTAGCCCAGAAGCTTGTACTCAGTTGCAATCTTAAGCACTTATGACCGGAAAATAAGAAATATATTTAAAGGAATTAAATGGTGTGGTAATAACAACCTTGTGATTAATTGCTATGTCAAAACAATCATAACTAAGGTCAGCTGATGTATTCGCCTGACATTTTATGTTTTGTATTCTTCCTTTTGCAGATTTTAGATGAAATGCCTGTTTTCTATAACCTAAATGCTACTGAAAAGCGTGAGGTTTTAATTGGTGTGTTGCAAATTGTTCGTAACCTGGATGACACATCACTTGTCAAGGCATGGCAGCAGAGCATTGCTCGTACAAGATTGTATTTCAAACTCATGGAAGAATGCCTCATACTTTTTGAGGTTCCTATCCACAACTCTTTTAATTAACTCACTGTTAAGGGAAGCCAAAGGCAATTGTGGATATTGGTGATTTCGGGGACTGCTTACAGTCTATTACACTTAGATTTAATTTTTATTAATCTTGAATCAATTAAAATTTCAGCACAAGAAGGCTGCTGACAGCATGCTTGGGGGCAATAACTCTCGTGGTCCTGTTAGTGAAGGAGTTGGGTCACCAAAGTACTCCGAGCGACTTTCTCCTGCTATCAACAATTATCTGTCAGAGGCTTCCCGCCAAGAAGTCAGGGTACGTTGCTGAATGTATCCTGTTTTTGGTAAAAACGTACAAGTTCGCCTAGAGTTCTTCAACATTGTTGCTCTTTTGGTGGACTTATCAAAACTTAGTTAGAAAGTCCTTTGCGTTTTGCTGATTTTAAGTTAAACATAGGGAAGGCTCTAAAGTCTTCTGACATTTTTACTGCAGCTAGAGGGAACACCTGATAATGGATACCTGTGGCAGAGAGTTAATTCTCAGTTAGCCTCACCTAGCCAACCTTATTCGTTAAGAGAAGCTCTAGCTCAAGCACAATCTTCTCGGATTGGAGCTTCAGCCCAGGCTCTAAGAGAATCGCTGCACCCTATTTTGAGGCAAAAACTGGTATAGATCTATGCTGTCTTCATGCCTTCTCCTTATTATTACTCATCATTTTTGCTGGCATAGTCGTCTATGAGCTATTCGACTAATTGCATTCACCCTGACCAGGAACTTTGGGAAGAGAATGTAAGTGCCACTGTTAGCCTCCAGGTTTTGGAGATCACTGAGAAATTTTCATCAATGGCAGCCTCTCACAACATTGCTACGGACTATGGAAAATTGGACTGCATTACTACAATATTAACGAGTTTCTTCTCCCGAAACCAGTCATTAGCCTTCTGGAAAGCCTTCTTTCCAATTTTCAACAAAATCTTTGATCTTCATGGGGCTACACTGATGGCCAGGGAAAATGATCGCTTCTTAAAACAGATAGCCTTCCATCTTCTCCGGCTTGCTGTTTACCGCAATGACAGTGTCAGGAAAAGGGCTGTTATTGGTCTTCAAATATTAGTCAAGGTGAGACATTTAGATTTCATATAAATACTTCACTGTTTCTTGTTATCATGCATGAATTCAATTGCTTTGTGCTTGCAGAGCTCGCTATATTTTATGCAGACTGCTAGGCTGAGGGCTTTGCTGACCATTACGCTGTCAGAACTCATGTCGGATGTCCAAGTGACTCATATGAAATCAGATAATACATTGGAAGAGAGTGGAGAGGCAAGGCGGCTTCAACTGTCATTAAGCGAAATGGCTGATGAAGCTAAGAGTGTCAGTTTGTTGAGGGAGTGTGGTCTTTCTGATGATACTCTCCTGATAGTTCCCGAAAAATTTACAGAAAACCGCTGGTCGTGGGATGAAGTGAAACATCTTTCTGACAGCCTCGTTCTTGCTCTTGATGCAAGCCTCGGGCATGCCCTTTTGGTATGGTTTATAATCAACTTGGCATATTTAAAATACATCCTTTCTGTTGTCAGTGATGAAAGATAAATATTTCCTGCTCGTCTTGTCACCTGTATTAGAAGACTTGATTGCTAAACTGGTCCTTGCCGTGTTATATGGTGGATGCATCATGTCTCTTGCACAAAATCCTCCCCATCGACACCCATTTTTATTATTTTACTGTGTTCATGAAACTGATAAGTATATATAATAACATAGGATTCAATTCGCTGTGTGTGGAAATAGCAACTTGACACTGATGGAGCTTATAGTGTGTCTGAGTATATCTGCATTTCTTTCCATGATCGTATGGTCTCATTCGTAATAGGTTCAACCACCTTTCAAGTCATTCTGTACTTTTTCCAACGTCGAAATTCTGTTATTACAGGGATCTGTGATGGCTATGGATCGATACGCTGCAGCAGAGAGCTTCTACAAACTTGGAATGGCATTTGCTCCTGTTCCAGATCTTCACATCATGTGGTTGCTGCATCTATGTGACGCCCACCAGGAAATGCAGTCCTGGGCTGAAGCTGCACAGTGTGCTGTGGCTGTTGCAGGTGTGATAATGCAGGTAATAATTTCAAAATCTGGTATGTTTATGTGTACTTTAGAAGCGCTATTGATCATCTCTGCAGCCTAGTCGGCTTTTAAGCTGCAGTCTTCATGCAGGTAAATACTTATGTGAATGCTTTTGTATTTTGCCTTGTAGGCCTTGGTGGCTAGAAATGATGGTGTGTGGAGCAAGGATCATGTGTCTGCCTTGCGTAAAATCTGCCCCATGGTAAGTGGCGAGTTTACAACAGAGGCATCTGCAGCTGAAGTCGAGGGTTATGGTGCTTCGAAGCTAACAGTTGACTCAGCCGTCAAGTATCTACAGCTTGCTAACAAGCTTTTCTCTCAAGCTGAGCTCTACCATTTCTGTGCAAGCATTTTGGAACTTGTTATTCCAGTTTATAAGAGCAGGAAGGCCTATGGGCAGTTGGCCAAGTGTCACACGCTGCTTACTAATATATACGAGTCCATTCTTGACCAAGAATCAAACCCGATCCCATTTATCGATGCTACGTATTACCGGGTGGGATTCTACGGGGAGAAGTTTGGGAAGTTGGACAGGAAAGAATATGTGTACCGTGAGCCACGAGATGTGCGGCTAGGGGATATAATGGAGAAGCTGAGCCATATATACGAATCAAGGATGGACAGCAACCATATACTGCACATTATTCCAGATTCGAGACAAGTGAAGGCAGACGAATTGCAGGCAGGAGCGTGCTACCTGCAAATTACGGCTGTTGATGCAGTCATGGAAGATGAGGATCTCGGAAGCAGAAGAGAAAGAATATTCTCTCTTTCCACTGGAAGTGTTCGAGCACGAGTCTTTGACCGGTTCTTGTTTGATACACCGTTTACTAAAAACGGTAAGACGCAAGGTGGATTAGAAGATCAATGGAAGAGACGAACAGTGCTGCAGACGGAAGGATCATTCCCTGCCCTTGTGAATAGGCTGTTGGTTACCAAATCTGAATCCCTTGAGTTCTCGCCAGTGGAGAATGCAATCGGAATGATCGAAACAAGAACAACCGCTCTGAGAAACGAGCTAGAGGAGCCTCGTAGCTCGGACGGGGATCACCTACCACGGCTTCAGAGTCTGCAGAGGATTCTTCAAGGAAGTGTTGCAGTGCAGGTGGGTGATTTTGTTATTTCTTATATCTTCCCATAATCTGTTGTGTAAACATAGGAATGCTCACACCCTTTTCATGGATAACAATGCAGGTCAACAGTGGGGTGTTGAGCGTGTGCACAGCTTTCTTATCAGGCGAGCCTGCGACGAGGTTGCGGTCACAGGAACTGCAGCAACTTATCGCGGCGCTTCTTGAGTTCATGGCCGTTTGCAAGCGAGCCATAAGGGTTCACTTCAGGTTAATCGGAGAAGAAGACCAGGAGTTTCATACTCAGCTCGTTAATGGTTTTCAGTCTCTCACCGCAGAACTCTCCCATTACATCCCTGCTATCTTGTCCGAACTTTAGTGTAATTTTTGCTACGAGTTTGTGCTTTTTGTTCTTCTTCATTCCACTATTTGGCTTTGTTTAACTGCCTTTGGATATAACTCTTTGTTTGTCTCTCTATAAAGAAGTTTGTTTTTACACGCTTCAGATTACATGCACTCCATCTGTTTGACTCGAGCTATATTAGGCTATAATTCAGAAAATATTATATTTTTTATATATTCTACAATATATATCAAAAAACCTTTTGTTTAAAATAAAGTGAAAATAATTGCTTACTTTAACAGTAAAAAATAAGAATAAATTTTAACATATCAATTGATACGTATATAGAAAGAATTTGCCATTATAATTGGCGATTTTGATTTTGTATTCACTCTTTGATTTGAATACACGATCGATAAATAGATTATCACCTTCATATAGTACATCCTCCATGACAGATTCCACGCTTGTAGGTACTATATAAGTTAATAGGTCATAATGTTTCAAATGAGTACAATACTATACTATACTTAGTGAAGTATGTTTTGCATAGTCGTACAAATGGACTATTTCTATATTGTACTATATTATTTCTATATTGTACTATACTATTGTTTCCACATACTAAGTAATCTGTTTCTTCGGTTCCCAAATCAGTAAGTACTCATCGACATCATCATATTCGTCGATTTCCCTTGAAGTGGATACGTGTCCAATGTGCAAATCCTAAAAATAATAAAAGACGATTATGTTATGTGTACTATTCTATAAGGTCCTATACCATAACATCTGACATATAGTATAGTATTCTATACCTATGTCAACAAAATAAACTGCACATCCAAAGTTCATGTGTTAAATCTCTACAAACAGGTGACTGAAGTTCTTTACAATGTATGCTCTTGCCGCTACAGAGACCATATGAGCTAGGCATTTTGGTTTGTAGAGAGCCTTGACTTTGCAGGAAAAATAGACAGTGAAAGCACCAAATACCTATACAACAATGACATCATAAGCAAATTTCACAGTATCTACTCCCACTTAAAATTGAAAGACTGTATTGTAATTTCTCTAAGGATCATGATTATTTATCAAATTTTTTGAATAAAATAACTATATTCTTAGATTGTTTTTTCAAAAAAGCTCTTATTCTTTTGTCACATTTGCATATCGATTCCTTTTGAAGAGTCTTTAATAACTTCCTCCAATACCATAATTTTCCTTGATGAGAAAATGTAAAACTTACAAATTTCACTTTTGTATTACCAAACACAAAACGCTTTATTTCTTCTTATATCAAAGGAGTTTAAAAATAAAACACGAGGCATCGAAATAATTGCGAAAAATGTTCATTGTTGAAACATTGACAGTTTCAGGGTCCTTTTTGCAATTTTCCCTAAGAAAAACTGCAAGTCCGATCTTCTCTGTAGTCGAATCCCAAACGAAAGAATCAGATCATCGTTGCTCTGCATCTCCATGGAAACACCGTCGAGAGTGGAAGCAGTTGCCAAAGGCGGCTTACCTCAGGTCCCTTCCCAATACATTCAGCCAACGGATGCTCGACCTAATCTCCACCACGCCGGCGATACAGCTCCAATCCCAACCGTCGACCTATCCAGCTCCGATTCCGTGAGGGAAGCCATCGGCAACGCTTGCCGCAACTGGGGAGCTTTCCACGTGGTCAACCATGGCGTCCCCATCCATCTCCTTGACCGGATGAGAGCTTTAGGCCTCTCCTTCTTCCAGGACTGTCCCATGGAAGAGAAGCTCCGCTACGCCTGCGACTCCAGCTCCGCCGCATCCGAGGGTTATGGCAGCCGCATGCTGCTCGGCGCAGAGGACGACGTCGTTTTGGACTGGAGAGACTATTTCGACCACCACACTTTCCCTCTCTCTCGCCGCAACCCTTCTCGTTGGCCGCTTCATCCTCCTGACTACAGGTTCATTACTTTGATCTTCTTAACATGACAAAATCCATCTCTCCCTCTATATATATATATTCCTGAATGTTCTCTCATTCATTGATGGGCTTAGAGAAGTTGTGGAAGAATATGGTAATGAGATGAAGAAACTGGCTCAGAAGCTATTGGGGATAATCTCAGAGAGCCTGAGCCTTCCTAGTTCATCCATAGAGGAAGCTGTTGGTGAAATCTATCAGAACATCACAATGAGCTATTACCCTCCTTGCCCTCAGCCTGAGCTCACTCTTGGACTCCAATCCCATTCTGACATGGGAGCCATTACTCTCTTGATTCAAGATGATGTTGGAGGACTTCAGCTTTACAAGGATTCTCAATGGCTCACTGTTCCTCCTGTCTCTCATGCCATTCTCGTTCTTATAGCCGATCAAACCGAGGTTTTTCTATATATCTCTTTCGAAATCCATATAGACTTAAGCAAAGCTATAAGAAGAAGCTCTGAAAACGCTTCCTTCCTTCTCGTTGTGCAGATCATAACCAATGGCATATACAAAAGTGCTCAACACAGAGCCATAACTAATGCGAATCGGGCGCGTTTATCTGTTGCTACGTTTCATGATCCTTCCAAGACTGCGAGGATAGCACCGGCTTCTCACCTTATTAACCAACAATCCAAACCGTCTTACAAGGAAGTTGTGTATGGCCAATATGTTTCTTCCTGGTACTCCAAGGGTCCAGAGGGTAAACGAAACCTTGATGCTCTACTCTGTTAATCATTCATATCTTCTTCAGACTTTCTCAACTCACAATCTCTCAAAGTTTATGCTAATGAGTTATAGTGCAAGTGTGTCGATGCCAATTGCTGCAACTGCAGACAAAGTACCAAGATACGAAGTTGTTTCAGAATAATTTGTCAGAGACATGATTATTTTTACGCTTTAAAGTTTCAATAACGCCTTTCATTTTGCATGAAGCAAAAATCATAATCGTAGAGATGTTGTAACTTGCTTTTTGCAATGAGAAGAAAAAATTAACTAATGTAGATGAAAGGATTTGAGATAGCAGACGATGAAATGACACTAAATATGCAGAAGCCGTAAGCTGTAAGTTGGTATTTGGAGAACTCCAACACAACTTTATTCAGAACGCAACTTCGGTCACTTCCAAAACCGATTCAGTTATGTAAAACAAATGCAATTTATAAAAATGGTAAGCAAATATGTATGTACCTTCCGTCAACAACCAAGCATCTACGTTTCCTTACCTGAAAAAGCCAACATCAAACTTTCACCCACAGTACTAACAAAACAAAGCCATCGGGTCTAAAAATATGCAGACAAAACACACGCAAAGCAAATAACCTGCCTCGTTGCAGTGCCTCTTCTACAAACTGCTTCTAAGCCTAAAGACACCAGAAGAAGATCACAATACTGAAATGCTTGGGAGCTGAACCAATCCAATTCTTTACACCTGCAACTGTTGTATCGCAGATTTCCCCTTTGAAAAAAAAGGGAAAGAACTTACCAAAGTATGGCTGCTAGTATAGGCAGATTAGAACATAACATCGCAATGATATCTTTGACTCGAGCTATATTATCATATAGACACTATAAAGTGAAAAGCTTGTCTTGGATTCCGGAAATGATATATGAATTTCAAGAAATGTATTCAGATACCTGAAGGAAGAATTTTCACTAACGGGGGTTAACACTAAATACCGAGCTCTATACAATACTAAAAACAATCAGCCTGAGTTGAAAACATCTGAGGAGATAACTAATGAAATGACACTTCCACTTGATGTACAACCTTGATCAGAAAGCCCTCAGAAAATTGCCCCCAGGTAGAGGAGAGAAGATGCTTCACTCATACCTTGCAATATAGCAACACCAAGTTCTTCATCATATCAGGTTATGCCAAAAAACACTTGTCCAGGCCACTACGAGAAAATATCATGGAAAAACTCTCTTCTACATCCGACCATCTGCTTCTTTGAGATGAGCTTCCTGATAAATGAGGCCATGTGGTGTATGCGAAGGGGCTTTGCCATCCTAGCAGATACTAACTCAAGTACCATTCGCCAATACTATAGATCCCAATGGCCATCAAGGTTTGGGAACTTGAGCTATCGCAATGTACTTGTCAACTTGTTTGTCCACAAAGTCCCGAATCTGCATAAACATTAATCAAATGCAATGATAATCAATTAGAAACTTCTCAAAAAAAGATGCAACTATTTAGTCATATTTATTAGAGTCAGTGACCAAGATTATTCCTCACAAGAAAAATAGACACTTCCCTCTACACCAGAGAGAGGGATACTCAAACGGGAAACCTAAAAGACAAGAATTTTGGCAAGAGATAACTCTGTAACTTTTGAAGCTTTAACAAACCTTGTTTTTCCGCTTTGAGTCGAGGAATTGTGGAACAGCCATGGTCTTCTCCACGTCTGTTGTCTGTTGCATTACCTGATGAAACCCAAGAGTTTCAGCAGTGTCTTTTTCTAACTTCAGATAGAAACAAGAATTGCAATATACTAACTGAAGAATTTTGAAGAGTAGAAAACCACAAAGTCACGGACCTTTGTTGCTGTCTTCTTCATTATTGACTTGTATGCATCTCTATCAATTTTCTTTGCTCTATATGGGGCCATAAGCAACGATGCAACAAAATCTACAATCCCCTGTTTCAAACGATCTGCCCCCCGGATATGACCTTTATGACTTTTATGTGGCTCTTTATTCACTGTAACCTGTGACATAGAACATTCATTCGCTCGTTGGTCATGCTTCCAACTAGGAGGGCCTGTCGAACATGCAATCGAATCTTCTTCATCCTTTATATGCAAGGCACGATTGAAAAATTCGGGATCAGCAGCAGCAGCTTGAGATTGCCATCTATCTATAGCATTATAATCCTTGACACCATCGCTACTACCAGCAGTATCAACCCAAGCCCCGGTAAACATACTGGTATCCGCAGCCCCACTTTCTCCAGAACATTCTCTGAACCTTGAATGAGATACAACCTCATTCGAATGGCTACGCTGTGAGCAGTTATCAACTGGAATCCTTGAACTGTCAAGGTCTAGACATGAGGCAGGAAAATCATACCAGTCCCGAACTTTGCAGTTCCTAGAGTCTATCTCTGACACACAATCTTGTCTTGCTAAGACATTGCCGGGAAACTTTTTCCTGAAATCAGATTCGTCCATCTTTGCATACTGTTCTCGCCTGGCAAATTTATGAAACGAGGGAATCTTAGGAAGCTGCAATGAAGTACTGTTATAGGCCTCAGAAAATGCCTGCAAGACAAGAACATATAATTTATTTGTTAATAAAGAAAGAGTTGATTTTGGAGGAAAAGCACATTCCAGTCCTCCGATAAAATAAACACATTCAGCAAGCATCCATCAATGAATTTCACTAATATGAATATAGGAAAAACTTGCCTTTGCAGCTGCTTCAGCTGCTGCACGAGCAGCCTCAGCTGCGGCAAATACAGCCTTTTCTTCCTCTGACATAGGTAGCTGGTTGTCCTCAAGCTCTCCATCTGTTTTCACATCGTTGCCATTACTCAGCTTTCCTTTACTGTCTGTATCCTCGCTATTCAGCTTTCTTCTTATCCTAGAGATATTTGTAGTATGTGTTTGTCTCAATGATTTCATTTCACTATTAGCTTTTTCTTTCCGGTATAGTTCCAACCACACATTAACAAGCTGACTTGCAATGGCACGGATATCACGGCTAGTGTGTGCACAAACCTTTTCTTTCACAGTCTTCCCAATGCCTGCATCAGCAAGTGGAAAGTAAGCAACTTAGAGAAACTTCAAATTAATAACAGGGTTAAAATCATATAGCTGATTGCACGTTATATTGAATCTTAAGATGGAACCAATTGCATGTGATTGAGGTTTGGGACAGAAAGTGCACTTGGAAGAAAACCAATACCTGAGAGCCTCACGGCAAAGAGATCACTCGTAACTCGAACAAGAATATGTACACAGTGACGTAATAGCTGGGTTCCATTCTTCCCCATCGAATCCTGATAGAGAAATATAAATTAGCAAGAGTATGTAGAAAAACCAATAAAAATTCATGGAGCAAACATAAAAGCAAAGGAAAGTTGTACTCTTTTCTTTGGTAAAGAAACTAGCAAACCAAGCTTACCAGGATCCAAGAGTTCAGCACTGCAAGCCCTTCTTTTGTTCCTGCAAAGGATTTCAAGGTTTCACCAGGTAGGTTAAGCAACTCCTTGGCTAAATGCAAACGCCCAACAGTTGTTTTAGCAGAGAAGAACATATTCCGAAGCAATGATTGCCTGGCCAACACATTAGACAGCTCAACAACGTCAAGCCTCTTTATCAGGTCGCTGACTTCATCCCTTACAGATACAGATTTCCTCTGCGCCTTTTCTAGTGTTTCTATTTCGGCTGTGTAATCATTTCCACTTCTAAATATATCCATTATACGCACAGCTTCTCGGACTCCAGTCATCATTGCACCACCAACAGTGTCGGGATGCTCTTTGCATGTTGCTTCACCAGCAAAAAACAAACAATTCTGAACAGGCCTTCCTAGTACATCATAATCTTCACCAGAAGCACCAATAGCAACATATGAGTATGCACCATAACTGTAAGGATCAGTGCCCCAGTCAGTAACTACCGAAGCAACAGGATCAGGCACCAGATCCCCACCAAAAAGCTTACGAAGAACCATCATTGCATGGTTCACATGCTCAGACTTACTCTTGTCTTTAGATTCAAAAGCAGCCTTCCCAACCACCAAAGCTATCAGAACAGGAGCACCAACAGTTTTTTTTACATTCCAAAACATAAAGCACTCACCTCTTTGATCTGTTTCCTCAGCAGTTGCCCCAAAATAATCCAGGCTATCATCCCAAAATACCTTTGAGAACTCTAACACAACTTTATTTAGAACTCCAAAACCAAGTTGTTTGATAGATGAATATTTCCAGTCGGGCAAGGGTGGTGAAAATTTAATGGTTTCTGCTTTCAAGCACCCAAGAGGAACGGTTACCAGAACAGCATCTCCAAGATACTCACAGCCATTTGATGTACTAACTTTGACTTTATGCTTGCTGTTATGCATCGCAGATACTTCAGAGGCATAGGATACCTCAGAAACTACTTTGTTCAAGCGAATGTCAAGTCCTTCGGCAAGCGACTCAACAACTTTGCTATAACCACCCTTAATCATAGCATGTGGCCCTCCAAAGCCGCCATATAACTCATCTTGATTCCAGTTAGGTAGCGAAACTTCCTTGAGGACAGCAGCGCAACCATATTCCGTATGAGCAAAATGCCAATTCATTACTCTTCGCTCCAGAGGATTCAAAAAGTCATTTTTCAAGCTTCCATCATGCGTAATGGTACCACTGATGTCTATTTTTGAGAAGGAAGCATCATTTGAATTGCCAAGCCCAAATCTTTCAATGTTCACCTTGTCGTGTGGCATCCTCAGCCGCTGGAGGCCATATTCTAGACCATCCTCAAGCGACATTTTATTTGCTCTTTCCTTGCCTATTTCTTCAACAAGCAAATCCACATCATCAATCAGACTGTTGAACTCTGCTTGTAGAGCATCATCTAATTCTGGAGGAACCTTTTTCCCTGTTACAGTATCATAAAGAGGGCAGAATCCATGCAACACACTCAACTCCAGACCTAATTGGTTACAGACCAATGCCGAAGGATCTGGCATTCTTTCAGATGGCACATCAGCTTCAATGCCTGTAATTATGCTAGCCCCCAGATCCACAGGAACTGAAAGTGACGACCGGTCTGTAAATACACGACCACCTACTCTACTCCTTGCTTCAAGAACAGTGACGGAAAAACCTTGGCGCTGCAAATGACGTGCTGCTGTTAATCCAGCAGGACCCGCTCCAATAACTATTACTTTTTTCTCATCTTCAACCTCACATTGAACAGACTCCCTTCCTCTCGTATGATTACTATTTGCAGAGGACAGTGTACTAGACAAAGCAGGCTTCGGTACTGAAATTGTTTCAGGGTGCTTGTCGACAGTAGCATCCGCTGGTAATACATGTAGGTTGACAGATTGTTTGCAATCGTCAATAATGCTTGCTTCGCATGTTTTGCTAGTAGTTCCCACCATTGCTGAGGTCGCACATCCTACTTCCGGTTCATCATTTTGGAGAGCACATTTCTTAGTCTCACTAGTCGATTCAACGGGTTTGACCTGACCAAGGATAAAAGCAACTCCGTCTTCAGACTCTGCAACAGAAGCCATAGAACTTTCTTCAACCTTTTTCCCCTGGAAGAGATCACCATCTTGATAAGTTGAAGATCCCCCCTTCCCCCTCAAAGATGAAATCCCAGAATTTATATAACCCTGTCAAGAAAACACCATCACATGCGAACTATAAGAAACCAGCACTCATTCTCTTTTCAGTAGTGCATACAAACTAAAAACAAAAATCAAGCACGGAGAATTAATAGGAGAATTTATCCCAAAAAATGCAACAGGACAGACTTACTCTCTGATCAAGAAACTTATAGACCTCTCTGATAAGTGAAGCTGAAGGCAATTCACTCTCAGAAGGGCCACTGGCAACACCACACTCAGTGACAGGTAAGATTCGCCTGACATTTTTACTCCACAGACCTAAGATAGAATTCCTGTAGCACAACCGGTATCAGTTCTGATATTAAAAAAAAGGTTAAGAAAGTCTTCAAGAGGTCAAAATGAAACACAACATCTATAAAGTTAGAATAACAAAATTGTTCCGAGGACAAAAAAAAAAAACTTGGAAATCCTTGAATTTCATTAGTAGGCGTGTGAAACAATACAGTACAGTAAGTATACAAGGTTTCCTACCAATGAAGAAGGTAAAAATGGAATTGACATCTTAAAGTACACCCTTCCTCTCTTAAGAAAATTCATTCTATACGACATAGGAACACCAGAACCATGTACTTGAATCCACAACAGCGAAGGAAAAGGAAACTAACCTGCAGACTAGGTACTCCTGATGGCTACCTTTGCGCTTCAACACCTCTTTGAGTATAATCTTCTCAATTGGACTTACAGACTGGGCTTTAAGTCCAGCTGTCACCGCAGCTGCTCTACCAAGTTCAGTTTCCTTGGAAATATACGGAGCGAAATCACATTTGTCGCTTCCTCTAAAGGACTTGTCACTTTGACAATCCAGAAAGCCTTGCTCATTCTCCCAATTCATATCTCCATCATACACCATGTTTCCAAGCTTACGCTTTCTAACAATGCGCTCTGGACGTTGCAAGGTCGATGGCTTCCTGGAATTTGCATCACCCCGGAAACTTTCATCTTCGCAGGGAGTTACTGAAACCGGGGAAGCTTCAGCAGTTCCATCTGTGAGAGGATTAACTTGAATACCACCTCCACTAGAAGCATACTTGCACTTCTGACAGATAGCAACCTGAGTATTAGGCTCAAAGTAACAGTCCTCAAAATTAACTTGGACGCCACAATCACACTTCACTATTTTTCTCTCTCGGAAATAACCAGACTCTAATTTTGGATCAGGAGAAATAACTGCAACTTCTTTTCTAGCAAGAGGAGGATAAACTTCGCCATCGACATTTGGCAGTGGTCTCTTGGATTCCTCATCCGGAAATTGACGAAAGTCATCTGCTTCCTTCTCGCTGGATACTGTCATGGGGATTTCAACTTTATCATGAACGGGAGAGTCTGCCTCATTCTTGCCATTAGAAGCACCGTTTTCGGAGATGCAATCCATATTCTCAGCTGATGATTCAACCATCTTCTTGACAGCCAATGGCTTCGAGCCAGACGATTCAGCACCAACCTCGGTAGAATCAATTGTTGATCTTGTTCTTGATTTAACCTTGGGTTTATAGACATCATCCAAGCACTTCTCCTTCACAGTACCATCGACGCCAAGCTCAGATGCATCGTCAACCATATCGTGGCCGACCTCACTCAACTTCAAATCAGAATTTGTCACAGTATCAATACGAGGAACATCCCTGTGGTTCCTAACCCTAGAGATTCCTGATCCAACATTTTTCTTGTGCCCCTTCAATCTCTTCCTAAAACTGGCTAAGGTATCATCCATATCTTCAGAATCCTTGTATACAGCACTCAATTTCTTCTCCACGGCTTGTTTCTGGCGCTGTTTACCAACACTTTCCGTCTCAGCCTTATTCTTCCTGGCACTTTTATGCTTCATAACCTTTAAGAGGGATCTGATAGGTTCGTCATCATCAGCATCATCGTCAAACTGTGCAATCTTAGATCCTCTCTTGAAACCAGATTTCGTCCCCTTTCCATCCATATTAATCTTCTTGTTCCTTAGACTCAATCTCAACTCCAATGTAATACTAACTAAAAGACTCTCGAAAACAAGAATTTCGCCTAAGCTTCTGACCTGGAGAAAATCAACCACGTACCTGTTCTAAAAACTCCGCCGAGATTCCGTTTAATCGGTCGTGTAATCGCTCATCGGAGGAAAAAAAAAATGCTTAAAGAAATAACAGGGAAGAGAGACGAACGAAGACGACATAGCCTTTAGGGCTTCCTTTCCGTAAAGGAAAGTTTATCATTTTAGTAAATATTTTAAAAATAAAATAATGACCACAGGAAAAACGCTCTAATCATTCGAACTCACGACCAATCGAGACTGCTTCACCACTTTTTACCACTAGAGCACAGTACATTCAAACAGTAATCTACAAATATACTGAATAATCGCTTCGTTTTACAAAAAATGTTATTCTAAAATTTTGTTTTTATTTTACAAAAAGTGTTATTTGATATTTTCAATATAATTTTGTTGAAAAAAAATAGTTTAAACCATTTTATTATAGAGTATTAATTAGAAAGAGAAGTAATTTTAATATATTTATAAAAGGTAAAATGATTTTTTTAATAAATTTCTTAAAAAGTGTGAAAAGTAGAATGACATTCTTTTTAAAACATAGATAATATATATTAGAAATAGAAATAGAAATCTCTGATTAGTCCAAAATATATATACTTAAATATTTACTAGGTTACTAACCGCACATTCGTACGGGGTAATATTTGTAAAAATATTTAAGAGATATTCTATAATTTATTAAGTTTTAAAAAATATTTAGGTATCTAAAAATATTCAGTCAAGATTTGAGAAAATTTAGTTATTTTCATTTTTAATTTAAACTTATACAAAGCGAGATTTACATGTAAAAAATATTTAGGTATCTAATAATATTTTTTCCGTTTGTATAATATGTGAGTCAAAGCTGTTGCAAAACAAAAAATATTCGTAGATCTAAAGCATGGAAATAATTTTATTTCTATTAATAAAACAGGTAACTAATTTAATTCACTAAACCAATAATATTATCGAATTATTTGTGATTGATTTGATTTGAATTCGATTTAATTTAAATGAATTAAAATAAAGTGTTTGGTAATAAGGATAGCACAGAAAAATAAATCAATAAAAAATATTAGAAAAAGGAGATAATGACACCTAAGTTAATGCTTCAAATATATGTTAGATAGTTTTTTAAAAAACAAAGATTCACTTAAATTTGCTGTCATATATATTTAAATCGAATTGTTTAAATTATATACAAAAAATCTAAATATTAATTGTAAAATTTTAAAATATTAAATGGAATTAAAAAATAAATAATTAGAGAAATTTTTGTTTGGTTGCAAAAAAGATTGTGTTTGGTTGCAAGAATAAATTTTTTAAGCTTTTAATCACTACTCAAATTTAAAAAATTCAAAATTCTGAAATAATGACACATAAGCCACTAATAATTCATGTTTAATATATGCTAAATTACGTCTAAACTGACCAAGCATATACCACACAAAAAACCAAGTAAACAAGTATATAAAAAATGCATTAGCAAATTGTAAGAAGACAATAACGAACAACAAAAAAACTTTGTTAAAACAAATTGGGGAAATTGGCAAACTACCCTAATTAACATTTGTAATTTGAAAAATACACTGCTTTAAAAATTAAAATTTATTGATATATAAAAGATTATTTTGACAAGGTTTTACCAATACATATTTTATAAATAAAATTAAAATCGAAAATTAGAGATACTAGAGGTATTTAATTAGATAAATCTTAAGATTTTTCTAAATTTATATTTATATAAATGTTTTTAATTAGATAAATTTAATTTCAGATAAAGCTTAATATTTTAAATTGTCTATGCAAATTTTAAACTAGTTTTAGCAGAATAATCTATAGATATAGAATATATAAAAATCTTAAGATTTATTTTTTTCTTTTTTCTCTATCAAAAATATAGTTAGTATAATATTCTATAGATTAGTATAAAATTAAAATTTTAGAATTCATAATAAAGTAAAATCCAAATAAAAATTTTTTAATTTATAAATAAAAATAAGAGAAAACTGTAAATTGTATTTTAAATTCTATTATATAAAACAAATTTTTATAAATCTATTATAGTTTTGATAATTTAAAAGATAGTAGCAAAAAAAGAATTAAACAAAACTATTAATACAGACCCGCACGTATCACGAGTTATAAACCTAATAACAGTAAAATAAAACATGAGTAAATTAGTTAATGTGGTTAGATTATTTGTTTAAAAATAGGAAGAAAAAAAAAGAAAAAAATAACATAAAAAAGGAAAGAAATATAGAAGATGAAGAAGAAAAAAAAAACTGGAGAAGATGAAAAGAATATAGACAAATAGAAAAAGAAGAAGAAAAAAAAAATAAAACAAAAAAAGCAGAAAAGAAAGAGAAGAACATATATGAAGAAAAGAAAATATTTTGAATCAAATATAAAGTTAAATTACGTATTTGAATCAGTTACACGTAACTTATATTATCTTAGTTTTAAATTTAACTTTATATTTTTATACTTATAAAATTTAATTTTAATCCTTATAGCACAAAATAATATATTATTAATATTATAAAATAAACACATTATAAACCTTATTCTCATATCATATTTTGTAGATTATAAAATTTAATTTTTAAAAATTCACTCCCGCATAGGCACGCATATATTTATATAGTCGATAATTATCTCGGTTCAATTAAAAAAAAACAATTTATTATGAATAAATCACCATTTTTTTTTGTTAATCTAATTTAAAATATTAGACAAATATATTTGGTTAACTAACTATAATTACATACACAAATGATAAATAATTATATTTATTTTTAACATAAAATCTTATCTTACTTAATTATGGTAATAATATAATATATATAATAAACTATTTTAAATATTTATATAATTTATTTCAAAAATCATATATCACGTTCAAAATCTAGGTAACCTTATTAAAGAGGCGATCCAAACTCGGTATAGACCACCAAACCAGTATCGAGGAGACCTTTAGACCGCTCAAAAATCGCCAAGTACAGTTTGCTGGTGAAATGTTAAAACATTGGGAGTTGGGACCAAAATCAAAATTCGCTGCAAATTACTGATCTCATCTTCAATTCACCATTCGAATACACACTCTTTTGTGTCGTACAGATCCCAATTCCTCTAGGGTTCCAGGTCCCTTGATTTTTTCGACTGGAATTGCACTTTTATCTGAATTCCCCAATTCATCAAGCTGGACAGGCACCGAGGGGATCGCCATGGGAGTGGCGGTTACGAGGACTCATACCATCAACACCGAGCTCATCCCAGAGGGCCTCCTCGTCTCTCAAATTCACCCTACATGACACGCTTTGACGAGGATGATGAGGCTTTTAGCCGCCGTCGTCGTCATCGAGGAAACAGCCCTAGCAGTTATCGAGTTGGAATTGAGGGCGGAGGAGATGGCGGTCGACGCTGGGAAGGTGACAGCCCTACGGATCGTGATATTCACGGAGATGGCGTCAGAGGAGGAGGTTTCCGGCCGATGAATGGTCCTCCAGGTAGATTAGATTTTCAGCCGATGGGTCCTCGCGATGGTGGAAGTTTTCGGCCTATGGGCTTTGCCTTCGACGGAGGCGTTGGAGGGTTTCGGCCCTTGGGTTCTGACGGAGCTGGAGGAGGCCGAGGAGGATTTCTGCCTAGCGGGCACGTGAAGTTTCCGGAAAGTCCAGATGGAGGAAGATTTTCTCAGGCAACGATCGGTAAAGTGACAGAGTCTGATTACTCTGTAAGACTGACTTCACCGCCGGTACAGCAGCCTCTTTCAGGTCAGAAAAGAGGGCGTCCTCTCTCGGAGCATGGCACCTTTACTGGCACTGGTAAGCTTGGGCTCCTGGTTTTGCAATGTATTGTTATCTAGATGTCTTGTAACTCGTTTGTTCAAGGGCGTTTCATATGATCTTTCCATTTACATTTGCAGATGTTTCTGATCGTACTAGTGTTGTCAAGCTTTTTGTTGGCTCCGTACCAAGGACAGCTCTGGAAGAAGAAGTGAGTTGATCTGTAAATTTTTCTAATTTGTTTTCTATATTTTCACATTGTTGAGATATCCTTAACCACGAAGATCATTCTTGCTGAGATTTCACCTTTTGTAATTTCTGTCTTTTGGTTTTCTATGTTCCAGGTCCGTCCCTTGTTCGAACAACATGGAAATGTACTTGAGGTTGCTTTGATCAAGGACAAGAGAACTGGGCAGCAGCAAGGTATGTTGATCTCCATTTTACTAGGAAATAGTCGTGATTTATACTTTTTAAAATTTCAGGTCTCCTGAAAAAGGCTGATGGGAAGCAACCACAGTCTCATCGTTGGCCTCCATTTGTTTGCAACAATATTCGCGCTTATTGCTTATGCTTGCGAGCGTCTATATCTGTGTTCGATTCTGTCAAAGAAGAAGACTACCTGTTGTAGCTTGTGCTAAGAAAGGGTTTGTGTATTGACCTTGTCAGAAAATAGGTTGTGCTTTTTGTGTCTATCCTAGAAACTAAGATGTTTTTGAAGAGTGTAGCAGACATTATTGAGGGTGTTTCAGAGTTGGAGTAAATGTATAGAAAATTGAACAGATGTTTTACTGTTGCCTTTATAGTGGGTATTGGTTTGAAAGAATATCACTTTTTTTTCTTTCCTATTAAATTCCATTTTTCTTTACTCTTACGTTCGATGAATTCAAAATGTTGTGTATGGTCTTTCACAGGATGAATGTATTTGAGTTATTACTAGTTTTACAAGGTTCAAAAGATGGTTTGATTGATTTGCTACCCTGCTGGTCAAGATTTGCCCGTTTCTTAGTGTGACTATATCATGTTGGATGTTTAGCGTTTTCAATTTCTTTCATATCCACTTTTGAATGAATGCTTTTTTTTTCCTTTTTTTCTTGTGGATGGCTGAGGAACTATGATGACTATTTTTCTTTTCCCTCTCTTTGAATGGCATGGGATGTGGATTTGTTGTATGTTCTTCTCTCTCTATTGCTTGGACTGTTTGTGATGTGATAAACTTATCTCTCGTTATTGATGAATGAATGTTTCGTTGAGTAGTTCTTATGTTTCTGTATGGTGACTACGGCTTATATATGTGGAAAAGAGGTCTGATGATACATTGTTTTTGTATGTTCCCTTTTCGCCACCCAAGTCTTTGTGCTTGGTTCTGCCTTTTTGTAAGATTATAATCCTCATTTTTGAGATCCCACTTTGTACAATCTCATTAAGTTCTGTCTCTTTTTTTCAGTGCGAAGATTTATTAGATGATGATGAATGACGTGGTTGTATGTGTTGCATGGTTATTTATTAATTCTTTGACTTTCCAAGAAGTTTTTATATCTATAACTGCTATACCTTTGTGGGTGGCATAACAAGTGCATTTGATTGTGGTGATATTAAACTTTTACTCTTCTCGTTATCACATTTTAAGTGCTGTTGATTCCCACACAACACTTTCTTCAGACGTGGGAAATGTTAGGTGGTGCTAATATGTGGGAGACAACTGATCGTTTTAATTTCTTAGAATACTTTCTGATGTTAAATGCATCTTGACTTTCACTTGCTCTCCCTACTTCGATCAGCATCAGGCAGGAGCCTAATTGTTTAATATTTTTCTAAATTGCAATTATATTCAACGACTTGTCTTTGGACTATGGTTATCATCTACCCATACATATTTTGTTTGGAAGTCCTCAAATGCGTGATGTATGGTTTCGAACGCGTGATATATGGTTCTGGTTTTAATTATATATCTGTTACTTAGCAATGATTGAGAATTCTTACATGATGAATCCTTTACGTTGGTTCTGTAGTCAAGTTTTATCCAGTTACTAATTCTTACATGCTGAATCCTTTACATTTTTCTAGATTTTTTTCCAATGTATATGAATCGTATTTGCACAAACTCAGCCACCTTTTTTTCTGAAAGTCCCTCTTGTAGATATGCTATCTGCAAATACCGACTGTTCTTTTTTAAATATTTTTTTGGCATATGCTCCATTTGAAGACATTAGTTTATTCTCTCCATCAACTTTACTCCTATGATCTAAGTGGAGGATGTCAGGACATGTCTTCTGATTTTCCTACTGCACTTATGTGCTTTTAATAGTGCCATTTAATTCTGTAAGATGGTGGTTGTGTGTTCTGTACATTTGTGATGCAACTATTTACTAGTACCTCCTGATGTTGATAGATGAAAAAGTTGAACCTTGAACAGACAGCTGAAGTATTAGTTTCATTGCAGGCTGTTGTTTTGTAAAATATGCAACTTTTGAAGATGCGGATAGAGCCATTAGAGCATTGCACAATCGAGTCACTCTTCCTGGGGTAATCACCACTGATGCTTTCTCTTACCGAGGACAGGAAAATACAGGTTGTTTCACCTTTTTATAAGTTTTTTTATTTCTCCCAGGGAACTGGCCCTGTTCAAGTTCGATATGCTGATGGGGAGAGAGAACGCTTAGGTAATCAACTTCCGCGCATGTTATCTGAATTTGGCTTTCATTGTCTGGTGTATATAGGGCCTTTTTTCTATTGTCTTTTTGCCTCAATCTCAAGTCTCATCTGATTTATTTCCGTAGGTGCGCTAGAATTTAAGCTTTTCGTTGGTTCACTAAACAAGCAAGCCACTGAAAAGGAAGTTGAGGAGGTATGTCTCATTTCGTATCCTACCTTATGATGAAAGTCGTTACTAATGGCAGGTTTGGATATACAGTGTCCCCTGTTGCCTCAGCTGATAAGTTTAAATGATTTTAGGGATGATAATTTATACTAGTCTTCCGAAAGGGTCAGTAACTTGAAAAATTGTGTCAATTATGCAAGCGTGTACACATTTTACGTATTGAGTCATCTCTTTTCAGGTTTCTTCTCTCAGTAAATAAAACTGATAAAGATGTAAATGGCTACTTTATGAATCAACTCATTTGTGTCAGTTTTCCCCATTCTTTTCCTACCAACTGTTTGATTGTTTTTGCTTTGACAGGTCTTTTTGCAATTTGGTCGCGTGGAAGATGTCTATCTCATGCGTGATGAATATAGACAGAGTCGTGGTATGTCTTATAACTGCTAGATTCTATAGATTGTTTGATGCGTGATGGTGTTGATTTGTTCAAGATGTGTTTTTTCACTCATGTAGGATGTGGGTTTGTTAAATATTCAAGCAAAGAGACGGCAATGGCAGCTATCGATGGTCTCAATGGAACTTATACCATGAAAGTAAGCTGTGAATCACATTAGTATCTCCGTTTCTCTCATTCACCCTCTGGACATGTTTTCTTGACTGGCCTCTATTCCTTCCACAGGGCTGCAATCAGCCGCTGATTGTTCGGTTTGCTGATCCGAAGAGGCCTAAACCCGGTGAGTCAAGGTATTGTCTTGGAGACTACTATATTTTGATTCATTCTACTGCTCTTATCAAGAAAATTGTGTATATCATTCTTTGTTTTGTATGCGTTACATTTATGGGCACTGGAATGTGAAGCATTGCTTTCTATATATCCATAAGTAGTTTCTGTTTCCAGGGACTTGGCACCTCCTATTGGTCTTGGTTCAGGGCCTCGCTTTCAAGCTTCAGGACCCAGGTAACTGGGGTGAAAGGAGATCATGATTATACTCACCAAGTAAATATATATTTTGACTGAATCTGGTCTTCTCATCTCTATTTGTTAGGCCTACACTTAACCTTGGCGACCCTAGTGCGGATGCAAGCCGCACAAATCCTTGGCGTCCAACGAATTCACCAAACATTGCCCCACCTAGTAACCTTGGGATCCGTGGTAGTGGAAGTGACTTTTCCCCAAGACCAGGTCAAGCAACATTGCCTTCAAATCAGGTGAGAACGCTTGATGTTGTATATCATCTTAGATCTACACACCCACATATATAAGGTTTGCATGTACTTATAAGCATGAAGTCCTGACCTTCCAGCTTTTCTTTATGGCCTTCGTTTGTAGTTTCTCAGTTACTGAGGCGATTTTTTTTCCAATAATTTCTACTTCTGATGTGAGCTTTTTAATATATGGCATTCTACAATGTTAGGGTGGTCCATTGGGTGGTTATGGTGTTCCTCCCCTTAATCCTCTTCCAGTTTCTGGAGTTTCATCTTCTGCCACATCTCAACAGGTACGTCAGCTATTTTTATCTAATCGAGGAAATTTGAAACCGTTTTGTTGATACAGTTTGGAGTTTTAATTGTTTCTATTCCACAGCAAAACCGAGCAGCTGGCCAGCAAATATCACCATTACAGAAACCTCTACACCGGCCACAGAACATACCCCTTCCGCCACAAGCTAATTTCCCTGGTGTCCAGGCATCCTTGCAGAATCCTTATGGTTATAGCAGCCAGCTTCGGCCACAGCAAAACGTCCCTCCTGCAACTGTTCCTCAAACTCCTTTGAACATCAATCTACGGCCAACACATGTGTCTTCTGCAACTGCTCAATTGCGCCCTCGTGCTCAGCAGCCACCACTACAAAAGATGCAACATCCTCCTTCTGAGCTAGCTCAGCTCTTGTCACAGCAAACTCAGACTCTACAAGCAACCTTCCAATCATCTCAGCAAGCATTTTCTCAGCTACAGCAGCAGGTGCAGTCCATGCAGCAACCAAACCAAATTTTACCAGTCTCACAAAATGGCCAAGCTGGTAAACAGCAGGTATCAATATACTCTCTCGGTTATGCCTGTCCAGCCGGGTTTCTGATAGACATCTCAGTTTTCATTTCTACATGTGTTTTAGTATTCTCCCCTTCTTTTTTAATGTTCCACCCGTCTGCTTCTTTATCAGTGGGCTGGATCTGCAATTCCAACAGTTGTTAGCACGACTGCTTCTATACCAGTTAGCTATATGCAAACAGCTGGACCTGCAGTAAGCCAGAGCGTTGCTTCTGTCAAATGTAACTGGACCGAGCATACCTCGCCTGATGGATTTAAATATTATTACAACGGTCTAACGGGTGAAAGCAAGGTGAGAAACATGATTCCTCTTTAATTATATTTTTCTTGTGAGTTTCAGGAGTATTCTTTCTATTTGTTGTGCTATTTATTATCCTTGATCAGGTATATATGCATATTTTTACATATGAAGTTCTTCAATACGTGTCATAATATGTGTATAATTGACTTTTACAGTGGGAAAAACCTGAGGAGATGGTAGTGTTCGAACGACAGCAACAGCAACAACAGAAGCCAACTTTACAGCCACCCCAGACCCAGTTACCGCAGGTTCTTAATTCCCAGCCGATGCAGCAACAACCACCACAGGTTCTCCAGCAATATCAGAGCCAGCAATTACAGCAGCCTTTTTATTCTTCACTGGTTGGTTTCGTTTTCATGCTGGTTACATCCTAGTAGTTTTCTCTCATAGTCTCTAACTTGGATATTTACTCTTTTCCATTTGGACTTGCAGTATCCAACTCCAGGGGTCAGCCATAATGCTCAGGTGTATATCTCTTAATCTGTTTACTTATTTTTCATTTTAAGATTCGATTCTGGTATAAGGAAATGGACCACCTTATATAAAATTCAATAAGTTTTTCCATTGAATATACAGATTTGAAAACATCTAACGTGAATGTCTGTTTTTTTCTTTTCAAAAATGCAGTATCCGTCATCAGCAGCCGGTCAAAATAGCCAGGTACATATCTGAATTTTATGAACTTAATGAGGTATCATTTTAGAAAGAAGAAAACGATATGCGTTTATTTCTTTCTATTTGAATTCTTTTTCTTCTTCTGGAAAATGCAGTTCCCTGCGTCAGGGATTGGTCAGAATGCTCAGGTATAACAAACTTTCATATCTTCTGATGACCTATGAATTTAATCAAAGAAGATGCTTGAATACATGCGTTTAATGACATTTCCATAATAAACAAAATTGATGACTTCCTTGGTTGGAAATGGTAGAGGCAGAGCTTATGTTCTAATCTGTTTGGAATGTCTAGGAATATGGTCGGACACATGTACCAGTGGGAGCCTCTTCAATAAATGATCTGTCCCGAACTCAACAGGTGGCATTGGGTTTTTTTATTCAGTGATACAAAACTTCTCTGTTCATAATTCTTCCTTTGGTAATCACATTTTCTGATGCTCTTACAATCGTATCTCCGTTTACAGAACCGTCAATCTCCACAAGAACTCATGTGGAAGAATAAAGCTTCAGGTTCAGATCTTCCCTTTCTCTCCTATGTGTCGTATTTTTTCCACACCCAAACACATTCCGCCTTTATGATGTTTCTTTAGTTTGAAGTTGCTTCTATTTCTCTGTGTTGGTACTGTACAGGTACATGAGACGAGGAGCTAAAATGTCTCAGTAACTAGATAGAAGCTTCCGAAACTAAATATTAGTCAAAGTAGCAATTGCAATGTTCTTGGTCCCTGATTTTAACCCCTTCAGGTATAATATATAGGCATCTGAATTTCTATCTTTTCTCTAATCAGAGAGATTTTTCTTCTTTTTCATTTTAGAAGTTACCAAACAATGCAATCCGCCTGTTGTAAGATAGCTAGCGCAAGTCATGTCTCATGTTGTGTTAGTAGTAGTGTACTGTAGCTGGTAAAACCAGACTTTGATCCAGATTTAGGAGTGTCGTATATCTAAAAATGTATATCAGATATCATCTCTTATCCAATAAGCCCGGTTTGAGATTTCATCTTAATTGTTCATCCATCTCTGTGTTCGTTTCTTCATAGAATTTCGTAAACCCAAAGTCCTATGTAGACTTCTTAATTTTTATATAGGATATCAGTAAGCCTGGTCTTGAATATAAATGTTTATATCTTCTTCTTCTTTTTTTAGTTAATCGTTCTACAATTCCTCCTAATCTCCCCCTCACTACCACCAGTTATCCCACCCATCTTAACCATAGCGTTCTTGAAATCTTGGAAGAAAACCGACTGATCCACTGCGTAGGTCTCGACGATCTCTCTCGTCCCTGGGTCCTGAACCGCCAAAGCTTGGTCCGATGGAAGCAGTCCCTCACCGGAGAGGAGGTTAACATAGTACTGGTTGTCAAATGTCGACGGTGTCACCAAGTCAAGCTGAGTGATACCTACAGAAGGGTCAAAGGTCGAGCACAGTTGCTGTAGCGACTCAAGGAACTCAAGGTTGTCTCCGTTGTTAGCCGGTTGTCCGGTTTGCAGTGGCTGCAACCGAGCTGTAAACGATGTGCACTTGGCCTTTCCCAATGTATGCCCACCTGGTTTACATTGGTTTAAGTGTGATTATCATCGGTTTCTACCAAAACCGGTTGGTTTAGGTATATAGAAAGAAGAGTAGTGCTATAGAGACAGTGTACCGGAAAGAGCGACCATGTCGGTTTGCGAAAGGCCTAGATTTTGAAAGATTGAGATGAGAGTTGGTACGGTTGAGTTTGGTGATGGTAAGCTAGTTGTTGCTGCCTGTTTACTCGCGGTTCTACCGTCTTTTCTTCCTACTTCCACCTCCCAGCTTGGTCCACCCGACTTTAAAAACCCGGTATAAAGTGTTCAATCAAACCGGTTTAAACTAATTCCATCGGGTCGGTTAATGTATGAGTAGGATTAGGAATGCTGAAATAGTTATCAACTTACCACAACGACTGAATCTCTAGCAGCCATGGCAAGAATATCTGCGCATGAGACAGTCTCTGGACATACAGATTCAAGATCAGACTTTATCGAGTCGATAACCTCGAACCCTCGCAGTGAATTAAGATTCGGTGGCGCCGTTTTCTCACCAACCAATCCTTCTGTGTCATCCAACAACACCGAAGCATCACATCCCTGCAGTGCAAGTCAAAAACATTTCCCTGTTCATATACCGGTATATATGGGATTTTGTCACGTTTTAAATTTTCCAGTTCAATGGTTTGTATTAGTTGAATAGCCATAACAATGAAAACGAAATTAAGATGAGGGAACTTGCATTGACAAAACAGTCGTGGAAATGAAGACGGAGGAGAGAAGCCGCCATTCTTGGATCCTGTAAAACCGCGCTCTCGACCAACGAGTAGACGATGGACTCTGCTTCCGGGCAGCTATTCCGGTATAATCCGAAATCAAGAACCAAACCGAACCCTATACCGAAGCCTGAACCGGTTTCTCCACTTCCGTCTTCACAAGTCTCGCTGAAGTTGGTTGGATTCTGAGAGAGTGACAGAATTGGCATTGAAGCGAAAAGCATAACGAACAAGTTAAAGAGCATCTTCATGGTTATATGATCTCTTTCCACTTTCTTCTTGAATTTTGAATGGAGTTTGGTACTGTTTTAGGAAGCTAGAGTAGTGTGTGTCCATATTTATAGACACACTTAATTATATACAGACAGACACATACTTAATACATACACACGTATATATAATTATATATGACTGCATGTGCATGTGCACTACAACAACCCAATTACGGATTATGTACTCGTGAAATTAATCATATGTAATGCTGCGTGTGTGTTAAATCAAAGAGTAAATTGTAATTTTGTCAAAATACAAATATACAACACATTCATAACCCAAGAAGGGATAAATTTGAAACCAAAATTGCAAAAGATGGCTGGCTATTCTTGGAATGCATTTTTGTGAAATAGATTTATTGGAACATTTCACATATATTATTTTTTTAAATGAAAAAGAAAAGTAAATCCTTTTTAAAACTTATTCATTTCATTCCACTTTCTAAATCTATAGGAATAAAAAGAATGAATAGAATTCACTATTACACTATTGCACTAATAGTTCAGTTTTTCATTTCATATTATTTATCATTTTATTTCTTTTTTATTCTCTTTAATTCCTTTTAAACATAACCAGTTACAGCTTTAGTAAAGTACTAAGATTTTAAAAAAAGTTGAGTAAATGATTTGTAATAAATGAAAAGGAAATCACATAAAATATGTTGCTTGTGCAGAGACAGAAAAGAGAGAGACATGTGTCGGTGGTGTACACTGTAGAGTCAGGAGTGGTTAAAAACAGATCAATTCAAGACTTGGAATCTGAAAAAAGTTTGGTCACCAAATCATAATACGTAACTAATTTATAAACATCATGCTTATTTATTTCGTTTTTTTTTTCGAAGTAGTAGTTGTTAAAATGTTATCAATGTACAAATAATTACATAATGATATAAGGTGCATGGGGATATGCATGTGGTTGTTACTGTTAAGAAAGTACATTACTCTTCAATGAAGAAAGAGTCAAATTTATTTCGTGTGGTCCATTTCTTTTCTCTCTAATTGATTACGAAGTTTGTTTTTTTAAAAAAAATAAAATCCTACGTAAAATCAAAGTCTAGTAAACTTGGTATGGGCCGGCCCATGGGCTTAGCGAACACGAACAGTGTGAATACCCAAGAAAGTCTATAAAATTACGTCCGACTGCCACTACACGCCTTTCTGCTTCCAAGCTTGAGCATCTCTCTCGTGCGACTCCGAGTGAACGATCCCGCCAAAGACACTGAGAGGAGTGATTGTGAAAATCAGGGAGAACCCGAAAACTCGTTAGCTAAAAGATTCAGCGAAGATGAGTACTATGAAGTTTTGTCGCGAATGGTCTGTTATTTTGCTCTTTGGTGTTTTTCATCTCTCTTATCTCGTCTAAATCCGTCTTGAAAAAGTCGCGATTACAACAAGTTTTCAATTAAGTTCCAAAAATTTTATTGGTTGTCTGCTTATGCTGTCAATTGGATAAAAAGCTTTGATTTTTGATACTTCTTTTTGAAATTTTCAGTAATAACATTCTATACCCTAAGGAAGACAAGGAGCAATCGATACTCCTCTACGCGTGCCGTAATTGTGATCACCAGGTAAATACTTGGTTTGGTTTTGCTTTCTTTGATAAAATTAGGGTTCCATGGTGTTTAATGGCACCATGTGATACAGAACCGGTAACTGGAATCTTAGAACCTCTAATCAAAGCTTTGGCTGAAATTAATCAATAGACTTTAGTTGACACTTCTTTGTTCACTTAATAGATTTCTGTTAGAGATTCATTCAAGCTTTGATTGTTGTTTGATAACGTGATGTTACTTTGCTCTTAGTATATCTCTTATAAGGTTAAGAATCAAAGTAAGAAGTTGAAATTATTCTGAAAAATGAGACTTTAACGAGTTTAGATCCACAATTCAGCTCATTGTCCTTGTTTCATATCATGAATCTAATTTGGTAAAAGATAATGGTCATCAGTTTGAGACCCTCTGAGCAAATTCTAGACTTTTAGAAACTCTGAAGCTTTTAGCTTCGAAAACTGTTTAGGTTTTTTAACAATATATATCTGCGTGCACAAGTATTTCTTGTCATGAAACTTCTTCCAGCGTTTGTGTTTTGTCCGTTGATTGAGATCTCATATGAATTTATGTATTGCAACTTAGCTTAATACTGGATTTGCTAACATTGGATTAGTCATCTTCTTCTTGTTGACTGGTTTGTAGGAAGCAGCGGATAACAACTGTGTTTACCGAAACGAGGTTCATCATTCGGTGAGTGAACAAACTCAGATCCTATCCGACGTCGCTTCTGACCCGACTCTTCCTCGCACCAAGGCCGTGCGCTGCGCCAAGTGTCAACACGGTGAAGCTGTCTTCTTCCAGGTGAATTATCTATCTTCAAAGCTTGATCCTTGGTTTCAAAAAAAAGACAGTTTTCTGTTTCTTTTTCTCATCTAACATAGAGATCAAAAGATTAAAAAACAAAATTCTCATTTGGTTATGCTGCTTGTACGCCACCATATCTTGCTATTCGGTTTTTTATTTTAGCTTGCGTGTGTCATTGAATTTGCAGGCTACTGCTAGAGGCGAAGAAGGAATGACTCTGTTTTTCGTTTGCTGCAACCCAAATTGTAGTCACCGTTGGAGAGAATAGAGGCGTAGAATATTACATTATTCGTATGTAACGTGTTCCTGAGCTCCTCATTACGAGTTTCATACATTCAATTTGGAGTTTTCTGGTACAAATATGAATATTGTGGGAGTGTTGTGGAGTTGTTGAATTTTCAGGGTCTTTATGATCAATTTGGTCTAAATTGGGTCTAATTATATATTTGCTGATATCTCTGGGGCTGATCTGAAAATACATCGTTATCCTCCATTGAATACGTGGAAACTGGAAATTGGCATATTGGTAGCTTCTAGTCTCTATAGCCGCCGGCTGCTGTAACTTTGCTATAACGTGTGATATATCTAATCTTTTAAATATATCTGTTATAATAATCCTCTGGTTTCTACGTTATCATACTGAATTATGTTGAAAGTGTCAAAAAAACTATTTATACTGAAGTTTATTTCCAAATGAATCATTGTATAATACACGAGTTCATCATGATTAGGTTTAGAAAATGGAGTCTCTATACGATGATTGAAACTTTCGCATGGGCTGCTGTCGATTATAATATATCAAGAGTTTAAAAGAAAACAATTATCTCAATTTTATAAGTTTTGTTTTCCTTATGTAATCAAATATGAAAAATTAACGTTCACTTAGAAAAAAATCAAATTGGTCTACCATAAAAGTCAAATACCAGTAACAACGTCATGAGTGGGAATACTACTTGATTCCATGAGTCCATGACATTGATTAGGAGCTTATCTTAATTTCAGAAGTTAGAAGTTGTTGCACGTCCGTTATTTTGTTTGAGATAATTATTATTGATTAGGAACAAAATATCAAGGGTGAAGTGTTTTTACGTCCGTAGAACGTTTATAAATATTGAACTATAGACATAGAGTCGAGTAAATAAAAATTTGGTAAAATTAAAAACCGAATAATAGCTAAGTTTATTTGTCAATGTTGGAAAATACAAGCAACGTCCTAATTTCTCTAGTTAGAAAGAAAGAGACATTTCTCTACCCATTTGATTTTCATTCTTATAATTTGCACTCAACTTGACATGATGTACTCAATTACTTAACCCGACTAATGACTTCATTTTAATTAACAAACAGAGACTAGCACTGAATAATACATATTAATACAGTCTATACGCATCCATATTTTAAATAAATAAAATCAATTTTAAAACTCAAGTACGTACCAAGGTTTGCATATAAAAGGCCAAGCATAAACTCAATTAGACAATGAGTCGTTGATAACCAACATTATCAACAGATTAAGGAGCTTCTCTATACATCAATATTTCGCTTTTGATGTCACCAATGATCCCATTGTTTCTCCTTCTTTCTCTCTTCACAACCATCCTCAGTCCAACAAGTCTCTCTCTCTTTCAACTTTTATTAGCTATGGATTATAAACTTAATCATAAGGTTAATTACATATGTGTTAATGTAAATGCTCATGAAAACAGGTGGCGAACCGGTAGGTGTATGCTATGGAATGATGGGGAATAACCTTCCGTCTCAATCAGAGACAATTGCTCTCTTCAGACAAAACAACATCAGAAGGATACGTCTCTACGACCCAAACCAGGCCGCTTTAAACGCTCTTAAAAACACCGGCATCGAAGTTATCGTCGGAGTTCCAAACTCCGAGCTCCGTTCACTCACTAACCCTTCCTCCGCTAGATCGTGGCTCCAAAACAACGTCCTTAACTATTACCCCGCCGTTAACTTCAAGTACATCGCCGTCGGTAACGAAGTCGTTCCGTCGAACGGTGGCGACGTTGTGCTCCCTGCGATGCGTAACGTTTATGATGCTTTACGTGGTGCGAATCTTCATGATCGGATTAAAGTCTCTACGGCGGTTGATATGACTTTGATTGGAAACTCATTCCCTCCTTCCTCCGGAGAGTTTCGCGGCGATGTTCGGTGGTTTATCGATCCCATCATCGGGTAATTTTTTTATGCAGCTATCTCTTTATCAATTCTCTTTTGCTTCCATTTCTAATACTTTTTTTTCAATTCAACAGAAACAAAACAACAAAATTTAATATTTTCATTTCAAATACTTGCTAAAAATAGATATATCAGTCAATTTCTGTTTAGCTCGAACCGAACTGATTCTAAACCAAGATTTATTTGAAACCGGTCCGCGCCACTGTTTTATCATGCTAAAGAAACCAAATCGCGCCAAAAGTATGGTGGAAACCAAACAAATTGAGGTTATTTAAGTTTTAATTTTTTAATTTTCTAATATTTTTTCAACCAAACCAAAAATTGGTTCTATCTGGGTATGTAGATTTTCATAAACCGAATATCATCTTTCTCTTCTTCAGTGACTCGATTTTTACTGTTATGGCTAATCTCAGGTTTCTGACGAGTACGAACTCGGTGTTACTCGCCAACATTTATCCTTACTTCAGCTACATCGGCAATCCCAGAGACATCTCTCTCTCTTACGCTCTCTTCACTTCTCCTTCCGTCGTCGTCTGGGACGGATCTCGCGGATACCAGAACCTCTTCGACGCTTTGCTCGACGTCGTTTACTCCGCCGTCGAGCGATCGGGCGGCGGATCTATCCCGGTGGTCGTTTCCGAGAGCGGATGGCCTTCGAACGGCGGAAACGCGGCGAGTTTCGACAACGCGCGAGCGTATTACACGAATCTGGCGACGCGAGTGAGGGAGAACAGAGGAACGCCGAAGAGGCCTGGGAGAGGAGTGGAGACGTATCTGTTCGCCATGTTCGATGAGAATCAGAAGAATCCTGAGATCGAGAAGAACTTCGGTGTGTTTTTTCCTAATAAACAGCCCAAGTTTCCGATTTCATTCGCCGGCGTGAGGGGCGGTACGGCGGTTGAGTGATGATTTGAAATTGTAAAATCGAGATAATAAAGAATCTTCTGAGATTCCTGCGAATGTTTCAAACAGTATCGGTTTGGGAGAGAAAATCTCATATATAATTCCAAATAAAAAGAAATTTCAAAATCGTAAACTTCATTCGTCAGAACGAAGAACAAAATTGGGTAATCTACTGAGCCTATTTCATATTCCTATTGGGCTGAATGTTTATGGTCTTAGGCCCATGAGAATCAATCAGAAATTGGAACTTGTATGACGTGGCAAATTAAGGGTCGTCATTTCCGTCACTGTATGAACGAAAAGCCAATCAGCCGTTGCCACATAATCAATTTTGAAAGACGATGAACGTGGCGATCATCGTAAGATTTGACTCCGATATTGACCTGAGTACCACTTATATTATTTAATCCTAATAATTTTTGTTTTACGTGAAAAATATCTGTGTTTCATCATCATCGGTGGTGCGGACTTTGGGCGGTGGATTGGACTTTCCAGGTCAAAAAGTCATCGGTGAGAACATGGCGGATGAGAGGTATAACCGGAAGAATCCGGCGGTGAAGAGGATTTTGCAGGAGGTTAAGGAGATGCAAGCAAATCCGTCTGACGATTTTATGTCTCTTCCCCTCGAGGTAGATTTTCGACGCAATTATTTATTCTCTGATGTTTTCTCTATGTTCGATTTCGAAATATTTTCAATTCCTTTATCGGTAAAAATGGTGTCCTGATGTGTACTATGGATTTTCTTTCGGGATCAATTGAGTCGTTTGGTGGAAGATTGTGAACCGTTCCTTGATCCATTTTAGCTTTGATGCTACCTACCTTCGTGTTTTCGTTTACAATCCTCTGCTATTGAAATTGATCGTATCTGTTGTAACTTCAGGAGAATATATTTGAGTGGCAATTCGCAATCAGAGGTCCTTGTGACACTGAATTTGAAGGTGGGATTTATCATGGGAGGATCCAGCTGCCTTCAGATTATCCTTTCAAGCCTCCTTCATTCATGTTATTGACCGTAAGGATTCTTACTCTCTTGTAATTGTATCACGCACACCAAGACGCATACACACAAACAAAAACTCACATGTTTTACAAGTGAAAAAAGGAAGAAAATATCTCCTGATGAATCTTTTTGCTCTTGTTTTTCAGCCTAGTGGTCGTTTCGAAGTCAATACTAAGATTTGCTTGAGCATTTCTAATTACCATCCTGAGCATTGGCAACCTTCATGGAGCGGTAAAGTCACTGACTTTTATATCACATTTTTTTGTTCCTAACAATACTAAAACATGTTATGAAAGACTAAACTTATCAATTATAACTAATACCTAATTGAGCAGTGGAAAGCTTTTAGATTTGAGGTTGAGTCTAGTTAGAAACTTTGCTCATGAATTTGTTCTTGGCTTATTTGTAGTTCGGACTGCTTTGATGGCTCTTATTGCGTTCATGCCTTCAAACCCCAATGGAGCAATAGGCTCAGTAGATTACCCAAAGGAGGAGAGACGTGCGCTAGCCACTAAATCACGTGAGACACCACCCAAATATGGTTCTCCCGAGCGTCAAAAAGTTATTGACGAGGTACTCCACTAGATCACCCTTCCTTTAGAGCAATGCTTGAACCTTTTGATCCACAATCTACATTATTTCGATGGAGACATATGGCTATGGCTACTCTTTTATAATGCTTTTGATAGTCACTTGGTCAGCGCAAGTAACAAATTGCTATGCAGATTATCCATCTTAAACTGGCTATGATGTGTTTGGAATGCAAACTTGATTTGCTCATCTCTCATTAGAAATTTGTTTGATATCAATACTTAGATGCTACGGGAAGATAGCAAGGAATCTTTGAAAGTCAGTAACTTGAAGAGAAAACACATTATTATGATTATTAGCCTAAAGTAGTGTCATGAATCTCATTTTTTAACCATTCTGATTCAAAGTAAGTATTGTTGATCTTGAAGCAAAATGAACATATAGCAAGGAATCTTTAAAAGTCGGTAACTTGAAGAAAAAACACATTATTATGATTGTTGACCAAAAGTAGTATCATGAATCTCATTTTTTATTTTAATATATGTTTGCATATTGGACCTTTATTTAGGTATGGTTTATTTACAATCCGGGCATAACTTCATTTAATCATTGTCCTTTTGACTGATATCTGCAGATTCATCAATACATGCTCAGCAAGGCAACTTCTCCTAAACCTAATCCCCATGAATGTAACAAAACGACTTCCGCTGATTCAGACGGTCAGTCCCAAACCAAGCAGCGTCTTGCTGCAACTGCTATATCAGAACCTGATACCGCGACTGAAGTGAGTCTAGTTGATCAAATCGCTGAAGAAGCAGCTCAGGCTGAGACTGTTCTTCCAGGAGCTAATGCAGCAGTAGAGGCTACCGAGGGAGATAACGGAAACGGTTTGATGATGCGGCGGGAGCAACGAACGGCTGTTGTCAGGACGGCTCAGAAACCGAGTGATGATAGGCTGTTCACGTGGGCGGCGGTTGGACTCACGATTGCGATTGTGGTTCTTTTGCTGAAGAAGTTCGTAAGGTCAAGTGGTCATGGCGCTTTGTTTATGGACGAGTCGTGAACGCTGGAGCTCTGATATCGGGAGATGGTCGAAGTAATCGTCAAAAGTGCAAGGGATGTGTTCATAATTTTAAGTGATGTGAGTGTGAAATAGTGAAGTAATTAATTAATCATACTATATTAATGTGTTTGATGATGTGTTGCATTTCTTTCAGCATATCTCTACAAAAACTTTTATTAAAATGTTTTGCGTCTATACTTAAATGATATTTGCGCATTTGTAATATAAAATGAGAATTGAAACTGAACATATTAGTGATTCACTACATGGACACGTTAGTTGCGATTTTAGATGGTTTAGCTGTAATGTGTAACGTGTTTCTCTGACGCGAGGATATTGTAAGTCACATGCCAAGAAATGGAAGTAACTCTGAGTGGAGAGAGATCATGGAGCCAGACAACTAAAAGACTCGGCTACAGTTTGCCTCTATGGCCCACATGTTACAGGCCCATTAGACCCACAACCCCACGTGACATCGGTCCCTCGGAAAGCAACAATATGAGAGTTTGATTTTGGGTTTAATTGATAACAACACAAGTTTTGGGGGAGAAACAAGAGCCAGAGTAACCTTCTCATCTCCACCACCTCTGATTTCTTCTCGTTTTTAAGTAATCTTCGGGACGATTTTCCTGAGAATAATAATTCAAATTGGTTCTCTCTTCTTCAGTACTCTCCTTCGTTTTATTTGGATTGGGGAGCTCAAACATTTCTCTTTTCAGTCTCTTTCCCAGACACTCTCCGATCCCAGTTTCCCATCTTTAATGTTTTTTCCGGAGAAAATTTTCAATTCCAAGGTTCGTTTCTGTTTCTCAACTTGAGGAAAGCTTCGCCGTCGAGCTATCTCCGGTTTCAATTTGAGCTGAACGCAGTTGATTACTATTCCATGATGAAAATTTGGTTCCGAATCCGATGATCGACGATGGCTTGACGAGGACCACAGCTGTAATTCTTCGAAATTCCCGTTTCGGATTACGAGTTACGAGTTAACAACATGGTCTCCGGGGATGGTGGCGAAACCAACGATAGGGTTGGCGATGGAGACGCAGCCTCGTCAGGCCATCGCGACGATCGGAACCGTCACACAGATAATCACCGCGAAGAGCTAGCTCAATCGTCGGCAATCAGGTCACAGAATCAGCCGCAAAACCACGGCGGCACAGAGTCCGTGAGCAAAGCTATCCAACAGTACACTGTCGACGCGAGACTCGACGCCGTCTTCGAGCAGACTGGTGAGTCCGGCAAGTCGTTCGACTACTCTCAGTCCCTCAAATCGACGACGTATGGGTCCTCCGTACCGGAGCAGCAGATCACGGCTTATCTCTCGCGGATCCAGCGCGGCGGCTATATCCAGCCTTTCGGCTGCTTAATCGTCATCGACGATTCAACCTTCACCATCATCGGCTACAGTGAAAATGCTCGGGAAATGCTAGGGTTCATGTCCCAATCTGTCCCAAGCATCGAGGAGAATTCAGAATTTCTAGCGATTGGCACGGACTTGCGCTCCCTCTTCAGGCCATCGAGCATCGTTCTCCTCGAACGCGCGTTCGTAGCGAGAGAAATCACGCTCTTAAATCCGCTTTGGATTCACTCTAAGAATACTAGCAAACCTTTTTATGCGATTCTCCACAGAGTCGATGTAGGAATCGTGATCGATTTAGAGCCAGCTAGAACCGAAGACCCGGCTCTTTCAATCGCCGGTGCGGTCCAATCCCAGAAACTCGCAGTCCGAGCGATTTCTCATTTACAGTCGTTGCCCGGCGGCGACATCAAGCTTCTCTGTGACACGGTTGTGGAAAGCGTCAGAGATCTCACTGGATACGACCGCGTTATGGTGTACAAGTTTCATGAAGACGAACACGGCGAGGTCATCGCTGAGAGTAAACGGGACGATTTAGATCCCTACATAGGTCTGCATTATCCCGCTACTGATATTCCTCAGGCATCTCGGTTCTTGTTCAAGCAGAACCGAGTTAGGATGATCGTAGATTGCCACACGTCGCCGGTCCGTGTGGTCCAAGACGATAGGCTCACGCAGTCTATATGCTTGGTGGGTTCGACTCTACGAGCTCCTCATCGCTGTCACGCTCAGTACATGGCTAACATGGGCTCTATTGCGTCGTTGGCCATGGCTATTATAATCAACGGGAACGAAGAAGACGGGAATGGTGGAGGAAGAAACTCGATGAGGCTTTGGGGTTTAGTCGTTTGCCATCACACATCGGCTCGTTGCATACCTTTTCCTCTGAGGTACGCTTGCGAGTTTCTAATGCAAGCTTTCGGTTTACAGCTAAACATGGAGTTGCAGTTAGCAATGCAGGTTTCTGAAAAACGAGTCCTGAGGATGCAGACTCTGTTGTGCGATATGCTTCTGCGTGATTCCCCTGCCGGGATCGTCACGCAGAGCCCTAGTATCATGGATTTAGTGAAATGCAACGGCGCGGCTTTTCTTTACCAAGGGAAGTATTATCCGTTGGGCGTGGCTCCAAGTGAGGCTCAGATAACTGACATTGTGGAGTGGTTGCTTGCTAACCATTCTGATTCGACTGGTTTAAGCACGGATAGTTTAGGCGATGCGGGATATCCTCGTGCAGCTGCTTTAGGGGATGCTGTGTGCGGTATGGCGGTGGCTTGTATCACAAAAAGGGACTTCCTTTTCTGGTTTCGGTCTCACACGGAGAAAGAAATCAAATGGGGAGGAGCTAAGCACCATCCTGAGGATAAAGATGATGGCCAGAGGATGCACCCACGTTCTTCTTTCAAGGCTTTTCTCGAAGTTGTTAAGAGTCGATGTCAGCCATGGGAAACTGCTGAAATGGATGCGATTCACTCGCTGCAGCTTATTCTAAGAGACTCTTTCAAAGAGTCCGAGGCGATGGACTTTAAAGCCAATGCAGCTGGGTTTGTTCAGGCACAAGGAGATAATATGACAGAGCAAGGGATGCAAGAGATAGGTGCATTTGCGAGAGAGATGGTTAGGCTCATTGAGACAGCGACGGTCCCTATATTTGCTGTGGACATCGACGGCTGCATCAATGGGTGGAACGCCAAGATTGCAGAGCTGACTGGTCTTTCCGCTGAAGAAGCTATGGGAAAGTCTCTGGTTCGTGACTTGATATACAAAGAATACGAAGAACCCATTGATAGGCTTCTTTCTCGTGCTCTCAAAGGTATATACAACAGTTCTTCAACTTTCAACTTGTGCAGGATTATAACATACAGATTCTGACAGTGTCTCTTTTTACAATTATGCAGGGGACGAAGCCAAGAATGTGGAGGTGAAGCTGAAAACTTTCGACACCGAGCTGCAAGGGAAAGCAGTATTTGTGGTTGTCAACGCATGCTCGAGCAAGGACTACTTAAACAACATTGTTGGGGTCAGCTTTCTGGGTCAAGACGTAACCAGTCAGAAAATTGTTATGGACAAGTTCATCAACCTACAAGGCGACTACAAGGCCATCATCCATAGCCCGAACCCGCTGATCCCTCCAATCTTCGCGGCGGATGAGAACACCTGTTGCGTGGAATGGAACACCGCAATGGAAAAACTCACAGGCTGGCCTCGCAGCGAAGTGATCGGTAAATTGCTTGTTAGGGAAGTGTTTGGGAGCGGTTGCAGGCTAAAAGGTCCTGATGCGTTGACTAAGTTCATGATCGTTTTGCATAATGCGATTGGTGGCCAAGACGCGGATAAGTTCCCTTTCCCGTTCTTCGACCGCGGAGGAAAATTCATTCAGGCTCTCCTGACTTTGAACAAACGTGTCAGCCCAAATGGTCAGGTCATTGGGGCGTTCTGTTTCTTGCAGATACCGAGTCCCGAGCTGCAACAAGCTCTAGAGATCCAGCGGAAGCAGGAGAGTGAGTGCTTCTCGAGAGGGAAAGAGTTGGCTTACATTTTCCAAGTTATAAAGAATCCATTGAGCGGTCTCCGTTTCACACATTCATTACTGGAAGCCACGGATTTAAACGAGGATCAGAAGCAGCTTCTTGAAACTAGCGTTTCATGCGAGAAGCAGATCTCAAAGATTGTAAGAAACATGGACGCCAAAAGCATTGAAGACGGGTAAGATATTTAGAGTCTTCTATAAACACTCACACTTAAACTTATCCAAATAAAGCTTCATTCACACTACTAATTACTAAACAAACACTCTGTTTTTACTCGTCAGGTCATTTGAGTTAGAGAGAACAGAGTTCTTCATTGGCAGCGTCATAAACGCAGTGATAAGCCAAGCCATGTTGGTGGTGAAAGAGAGAAACCTTGAGCTGGTGCGTAACATCCCCATGGAGATCAAATCCATGGCTGTCTATGGTGACCGGATAAGGATCCAACAAGTCCTGGCGGAATTTCTGGTAAGTATCGTCCGCTATGCACCCACCGGAGGCTCGGTGGAACTCCATCTACACCCGGTTCTGAAACAAATGGCTGATGGGTTCTCAGCTATACGCATGGAGTTGAGGTAACCATTACTAAATCGATTTTAGGATTTGATTCAGCAAACAAGGAAGACTCGGATTCAACTTTGTCAATGTATGATGTGCTGTTTGAACAGGATGGCATGTGCAGGGGAAGGCTTGCCGCCGGAGAAAGTGCAAGACATGTTCCACAGTAGGCGATGGATGAGTCAAGAAGGATTAGCGCTAAGCGTTTGCAGGAAGATTCTGAAGCTAATGGACGGTGAGGTTCAGTACATAAGAGAATCCGAACGCTCTTATTTCCTAATCGTTATCGAACTCCCGGTTCCATCTTGGTGTGTCGCTATGAAACATTTGATTCCACTGCAGGTGGGTTTTTAATAGTACAGTATTATAGTTTGGTAGGTTACATATACACTGTACACAGTTATAGTCTCATAGATAGAAAGGAGAAATATCTTGTAAGGATTAAATTTTATAAGATAACTATTGGATCTTAAGAAAGAGAGGAGAAATATTTTCTTTTATCTTGATAGTAGTTTTCTTATAAGAAGGAAAGGAGAATATCTTTATCTTTCTTACATTTGATCTTCTTTTATCCTAATCAAGCAGTTTATATCCCATCTACAAATTAGTCATCAAATGCGAGTGTTAACTCTAAAAATAGAGAAGAGTCTTAATTAAACTCCATCGCCTGCCTTTTCTTTCGTTTTTTACTACTCAAGTATCATAAAGTCACTGTTACTTTATGATCAGCCTTATACCCAATCGTCTTCTTCTTCACTCTTCTTCTTCTTCTGCTTCCACATTGCAGTCCACCTTTTGCAGGATCCATTGGCTGCAAATTAACCAAACTCAGCATCACATAATCCTTACATATCATGAGACCTAAACTCTTTCTCTATTAATTTTTTTTTGGCTCACTAACATACTGTAGTTAAAACTATATATGACCATGTCTTAAAGAAGCATGTGTTCTTGTTGAAGAACTGCGTTATTCAAAGACAACGCACTCTGTTTCGGTTTTCTACTTTAGAAAAAGAACTCAACAAAGTTACGAATGTGTTGCTTCATGTGATCAAACTAGTTAGCGAACGAATTGGAAATAAACAGTGAACTAAAAGAGACCTGCAACAGGAGCCTCTTCCTCTTCATATGTAGTAGCCGCCGTTTGAAGCTCAGGGGTTAGTTCGCCTGCGGATTCTTGCTGATTCGGCTTCTCAGCTACCTCTTGATTCTTCCGTATATAAGCGTAGCAAGCTTCAGTTTTTGCTTCCTGTCTCATTCTTGGGAGATACAGATACCATGGAGGAGAAGTTAGATAACTTGTCTTCTTTCTTTTGGTTAAAAATCCACCTTTAGATTTGGCATCTGCTTCTTCATCAGAGTTAGGAAGAGGCAAGGCTTTCATTGGAGGAGCTTGATGACTAGAATCTCCAACTTGGTAACTTCTTTTCCTTCTTTTGGTTTCAGATTTGACGTCTTCCTTTTCTTCTTCATCAGAGTTAGGAAGATGCAAGGCTTTCATTCTATCGGTTAAAGATCCTCCTTTAGATTTGTCAACTTCCTTTCGCTTCACCTTAGCCTAACCATGTAAGAAGATTTATGAAATCAATGAAAACTTCTTCCTCGTTAGGGTTTTCTAAATAGAAACATAAAATAAAAAAACTATGTTGATTCACTAAGCAACTACAAAATCCCAATTTTTACCAGGAATCCAGAAACCCTAGGGAGAAATATCATTCCGAAACTCAGAATTTCCCAATTTCCAAAACATAAAGACTAATTTACATACCTTCATCTGGGCTACAATGGCTTCAATCCTTTTGGCTCTCTGAGAAGCTTCGATGGCTTCAATCCTTTTGGCTCTCTGAGAAGCTTCGATGGCTTGGCGTTGCGTTCTCGCAGCATCTTTGACTTTCCTCTCTTGTTCAAGCTTCGGTTTCGCTCTTTCCTTACTCTCTCTATGCTCTCTCTCAAGCTTCTCCTTCGCCGATTTAAACGCCGAATCCATCTTTGACAATTCGAAATCTCAAGGTGAGTGTGGTGAAACACACACAGATCAGGAAGAAAACTAGGGTCGAGAGAAAAGGAGGGAGTAGGGAACCCTTTATTCCCCCTCTTGTTCTTCGAGAAACAAGATCTCTTGTGAATGATAATATATACTGTATTATTTTATTATTCTCTCTTGTTTAACAAGATGTGGACTGGGCCTCTTGAATCCTTTTACGGCCTGTTAAGTCCAACCCAACTAACTTTTTTGGCAATTCTATTTTCTCCAATCCTCACATTTGTTTTCCTGGGGAAATTAAACAAATAAATTGGGTTGACCTATAACAGAAAACGTTTTAGCTGCACTGTATGCAGGGCCGTGCCTAGTAAGGCATAAAAGAAACTTCGGCCTACGGCCCCAAAATTTTATGCAAAATTTAGGAAACAAATTTTAAAATATATTAATATTATATGGTGTACATATTCCTACCATTAATAGTATATTTCAACTCTCAAAGCTTTTTATAGAATCTAAAAAGTTAAATAATAGATATTACATCTATATTTTTCTAACTTTATAAAGTTTTTTCATTATATTTATGTTTTTTCATTTTCCAATTTTTTAAACAATCTTTTTTCTATTTTTTCACCCTGTATCTATTGTTTTTCTTTAAAACTTTTACTAATTTCTTCTGTTTATTATATTTTCTCTTTAATTTTTACTTACCTGAAGTCAATTTAACAAATATATTATATACAATACTATATCTTATGATGTATTTAGTTATATATATATATGTAAATCTATCTTTTATAAATGATTCTAGTAACATTTTATTATACAAAATCATAGTTATATTTTATATTATTATATAATATAAATCTAACAAAAATGTTGTATTTGTTTTTTGCCTATGGCATCAAAAATCTTAGGCACAGCTCTGACTGTATGAAGCAGTTCGTAAAAATAAGACCGTTTTTCTCTGTAGAGATTAAACGTTTTTCTGCGGTAGAGGTTGTTGATCATTTTGACTTATAAAATGTCTGCAATATGTGGCCACACAGTCCACAAAATCGGTGGTTCAGGAACTTGTGTTTCCAGCAATATTTTGAGATTTAAATTCGTGACAAGATGTTTAAAAAAAATATTATTGCTATTTATATATATAGGAAACAGAGAAACTGTAAAACTATGATTGAAATAGCAAGTTAATTTAATGGATATCGATGAGTATAATTCCATAAACGATCTTTAACAAAAACATAACATTTCCATAAACGACATCCGCACTAGCAATAACCAAATCTATATATACTCCGTTCACACACACCAAAATCACTAATGCTACAATTAACTCTCACTAGAAAAACCACATGCAATGTTATAAAAGCATCCGTAGAAAGAGATAATAAAAGAACAAAAGAAAAATACCAAGTCAATCTCTTCGGCAAAGAAAAAAAAATCTATTTAAAAATCTAAGAGAGAGAGGGGGAAACCTGACACAAACTGTGTTCCAACCTAAGTGCCTTCCCGACATTTGCCGTGTTCTTTTGTCTACCGCTGCGACAGTGGCTGTGACAGAGTAAATACATTATTGCTAGAGCTCAGATTTTACCCAAATAAAACTACTATAAGTGCACAATAAAAGTAGTTATAATATAAAGGGTATCGAATCCCAAATGAGTAATACAAACTACACTATCGACTGTATGTTCAGATTAAGCTAAACAACATGTAATGTATGTAATGCGATTGAATAAATAAAAGTAAGCAAACAAAATTTGATGTTTGATCTAAGTTTCAGAAGACTAAAAGCGCTAAGTCAGGACAGTTCGCAGGTTGAATCTGAGAATGTAGAATGCACGAAATCAGGAATGCACGAAATCAGGAATGATTAAGAACCGTTTTTGAACATGAATATCAAATATATAACTAATCAATTCTCATTGCATAAATCAAATCTCTTTGCAAATCCTAACAACCTAAACATGCAATATGATCAGAATCAATTGTTCACAAAACTTCTAAGCCAAATCTCTTTGCACTAAGTTGTTTTGCTCATCAAATACTAGTTCATGTTATCAATAATGCTCTCACATATATTTAAAAACCTATGATTTTTGGATTTCTAGATGATGTTTCTAAGAAATTCAAAATTTAAAGCAAGCATATATGAAAAACCAAAAGATATTCCTAACAGGTAGCGATTCTATTATCTCTTCATCAACCTTTGAAAAAGCCCTAACTTAACTAGCAGATTACTCAGACATGATCATGAAATCACAAAACATAACTGAATAAAATTGCATTAAGAGAAAGAGTAAAAGAATAAGGGGGTTTGAAATCTTCTCAAAAGAGTACATGATTTGTCTCCCCAAAAAACTCTGATTAAATCTCTCTGAATTCTAAAATCTAAGATAAAAGCCAACAATGGCTGAAAAACCTAATAAATAGAGGTTAAACACGATCTGAAGCCTTCTTGCAAATATGAGAACTTCTGGGCTAATTCTGCAAATATTCTTCATACTTTTAATAAATCAGCCACGCTCCTTCCTTGGTGGATGTCGAGCGTCTCCAAGAGTGGTGACGAGCGTCACTAAAATGCATACTTTCTTCTTCAAGCTAGGTACTTCGTGGCTTCAACTTGCAATGCTCTAAAAAGCTTCAATATCCCCAATTATGCTCTAGACATGCTATAACCTGCAAAGACTCTACTAAGACTCTAAACAGATAAAAAAGACTCAATAAAAAGGACTTATATCATGGTTAAAAACCATGATATATCAACTATCACCAACGATAATTAAGCTTTGCTCTCTCTTCCTTTTTGCCGCTGCGTTTCATTTTGAACAAAAAAATCAGTGTCATGCTTGACGCCTGGAAAAATGGCGGTAGTTGAAGTGATCGGCGTCATCTTCTTTGCGACCCATCGGTTGCTGTCCATGACTATTATGACACTTTCAATTTTAATTCATGTTGACGTTTATTTTGTTGCTTATCATTTTTGATGCCATTTTGCTCTGTCGCAGCCGCTACCGCAGCGGTAGACAAAAGAGCAGAGCAATTAATTGTTTTTCCTTTCTTTCTTTGCTTTTATTTTTGTTATTGAGCTATCTTTAAACAACTACTCCCTTAAGAAAATTATTGATTTTTCTGTTCTACTTCTAATTAATATTTTATTTCCTTTATTATGAATAATTACTAAGCTAAAAAGTAAAGGTAAAACTGGAAAACCTATTATAAATCTACATTAAAAAATAGAAATATGACAATTAATTTGAAACAAATGAAAAGTCTAAAACGACAACTAAAACGAAACCGAGGAAGTATATATTTGCTAACGAGTTTTGGAGTTCTTTCTGATTTCACACTCAGCGTCTTTGGCGGG